ATGCACGAAAGACAGCTGGCTTTGCAGTATAAGAATGGCTCTTTCAAATGCCTGTGAATTTTACTTATTGGTTGGGAACATCAATGTACCCCATCCACAGCGGTGCTTAAATTTGTCTATAGATTAGCTGAAAAAATAATGAACACATCAGCAAAAGGGAAGGGCTATAAGCAAGTAAAAAGTGCCTGAGAGCAGCATCATGACGTCCACACCCTTGTTGTTGAACAAATGTGACTAAATGTAACAGCATGGCTGCAGTGGTGTCAGCTCTACGCAGGCAACAAACAGCACTGCCACACGGCACTGCCACACGGCACTGCCACACGGCACTGCCACACGGCACTGCCACACGGCACTGCCACACGGCACTGCCACACGGCACTGCCACAGCTGGGGTCTAATGAAGTCACCCAGCTTTGCTTGTCTTGCCTTCTTACTGCCATGGATCCCTAACCCATGACAGAGGCTTCATCCTGCAACCAAGCACCCAGCTTTAATTTAAAGTGCTTCCTTGCAATTGATAATGCAGTATTTTTATCATCTCGGGTCATTTATCCAGCCAAACTAAGGCAGCAAACTAAGGTCATAGACACAATGCTATCTAGGGGGAAAAACAATTTGTACTTTTCACTTGTAAGACTACCTGTGGGTTTCCCTTGGGTACTCTGGGTTTATCGAAAGATACACAATTAAGTGAATCTCTAAATGGCCCACAGGGCACAACTGTGTGTGTGTGTGTGTGTGTGTCTTCCAAAAGACTGGTATTTCTCTGCTTTATGATGACTAGGGTAGGCTCCAAGCCCTGCTGTGACCCTGAACTAAATAAGGAGATTCAAGATGGAAGAATGGATGTTCAGAATCATTTTTCTGTATCAGCTGAACTAAGGTTTTTTAAAAGTTTTGCCTTTATAACTGAACTACTCATTCTACCTGAAACCATTTCTGTTCTTATTAAACTACTGCTCTAAAATGCTCTACAACAAATTAACTTCTTTTATTTTAAATGCAAACTCTCCAGTTACCAAACTTTTACAGTCCATGATGCAGATCCATGCACTCAATAGTCATAAACTGCACATTCTGCACATCTAGTCCCTCCTCATCACCACTTCAGGGTCAAACCTGAAGAATGTACAGTATATAGTGACTGCTTGCCATTCGTCAGATACATTCATGCCAAGTTCTACCTCTTCACAGACACACACCTACGTTGTAAGATTCCCCAACATGAAGGTGACTCATGACTGCTTTTACCCTGAAATTCATGGCTTCCAAAGGGATTGTGACCCTGATTACCTCTTGCCTTTCTAGACCCTTTCCGGCTCTTACTTCAGGAGAGCAATGTCATTTACATCAATAAGCCCCAACTTTGCAGTGTATGCATGAGGTCAAAGAGGGTCGATTGAACAGGGACCAGCTGGCGGGCCTACAGGTTGGTCTGAAAGGCCACCAATATAGAATAGGAAACAGGGGTGGACCTGGGGATCGAATTACATGATCAGATGAGGCCACTGCATTTGGAATGCACTCCAGAATCTGACCTTGGGAAAAGACTGAAAAGGAAACAATGGTGTAAGATATCCACCATATAACAAAATAATTATTGATCATCATATAAAAAGAAACCGAATGACAACAAATCATGATCATTTTATGCAGCTTACTCAGCATGTTAACTGCAATACAGAAACAAGCATCTTCTTTTTAAATGCATAGTATTTTTCATATTACTATGCAACACACTGACAGATGTAATTGCTTCCTCTCCTCTTTCCCCAGTCATTCTCAAATACTAATATTACCTTTAACTAGTGCCTAAAGCTGATTGTCATTGCACCAAGCTGCATCTGGTTTTTGTTTTTTCCCTATGTGTGCCTTTCTCACCAGTCTTGTGACCCACAGTGCTGCATGCCTGCCGTCTTACTTCATTTTCTCGAACAGCAGCAGTAATCCACTGCTAGGCTGGTAGCACAAGCACCAGTCCCTCCTCATCACCACTTCAGGGTCAAACCTGAAGCATGTACAGTATATAGTGACTGCTTGCCATTCGTCAGATACATTCATGTCAAGTTCTACCTCTTCACAGACACACACCCACGTTCTAAGATTTCCCAAAATGAAGGTGACTCATGACTGGAATGTTTAGTGGTTCTTTAGGGCATTACCTAACAGGGAGGACTAGTACATTGGGCAGGGCTGTCCTTGACTGCATATCCAATGGAGAGGGTGTGGCATGGGGTGTGAGAGCTATAACACAGACATTCCTATCTACAGAAGACTGCCTCTACCATCAAGGCATTGAATTTCGAATTTTTATTTTTTGCAAAAGGCCCTAAACAGAAGTAATTATACTTCCTTTCTGAATGTCAATACATGGCCCTTCAAGTTCAACATGAGACCATAAGCAACCATTGTTGCAAAGTTAAAGGGGGGGGGGGTGAGCCATCTCTAGCATCTGACAATTCATTAAAAACCGGATTCTTGATGTGCTCAGTAGTACTGCACTGCATTGGGAAAAGTCAGGAAGGAGCTTGAGAAAATAAACAGCAGCGGAAGATCCAATACCAATCTTGAATATCAGATTACTACACCTCTACATGAATAAAATTACTTCAACCAACCACCTACAACAGTATCAAGCAGTCACTTTTCCAAGGCTTCGATTTTGTATTATTTTTTCATTGATATATAGTTCCTGCAAAAAAGGGAGGAAAAAATCTGAGGCAATAAAGACAAACCCCTAACAATTTTCTGCGTCAATTTGCAATGCTAATGAAGTGTAAACAACCCAACAATCTTCATCAGAAAGACTGACAAATGTTGATTTTAACTGATGAAAACCTCAAATTCAGCTGTCTGCAGACTTCTCCATTTGGGTTTTGGATACAGCTGAGAACCCATATCCTAACATTTAAACATAATCCAACCTTCAATCAGCATGCCATTTTGTTTTCGGCTTGCTGGTGCAAGGTTAATCATTCCCCTGCAATGTACAGCAGAAAATTAGTCTGTAAAAAAGCCAGTCTAACATTTAGGATTCTTCAAATAAGCATAATGCTATTAAACACCAAGAGGCAAACTTTTATAAAGCACACCACATATTGCAAAGAGACTATTCTATGTAAAATTCCAAGTCAATTTAAATTTGATCATCTAAACTGGCCTCAATACCAATACGAAGTTCAAATTGCTCAGCAGATAAGGTACAATACTTAGCCTTAAAAGGTTCCTTAAAAGACATGCCAAAAATAAAAATAAAAGAATAAAAAATGACTGGAAGTCAATAAAAATAAAAATTCTGTACCCATTTCTTTAACCTGACCCATCCATTGTCATTTGCCCATGTAATACCCAGATGTATCACCTACCTAAAGGACACCATTGTCACTTGGAACAAAACTGCAGCTCTATGGCATGATGCCTTGGTATGACATGCCTGAGCAACTACCAAGTGGTAGCCCTGGAATGGATAAGTCCATTACTGTACTACCTACAAGACAAGAAAATACCCCCATAAAATTTAGATTGAGTGTGAATGCTCAGTAGACTGGCTTCCGCCACTTGCTTCACCTAGTTTTACAGGCACAAAGTGACATGACAGGGTCTGCTGAAACCTACTGCACAGCACACTTAAGTCCAAGGTACGAACTGACAGTATGAGGGCAAAATGGGAAATTTGTGATGAGGTAGAACAGTGAGAAAACCGATTAAGAGAAGACATGCAATTCTTAAGGTCCAACTTATCCCCACCGAGGAGCGAGACAGAAAATGTTACCAGCAGACTCATTATTAAGTTACATAGTCAAAAAAACTAATTTGTTTCATATTCTTATTTTCTCACTGACCACACTGGAATCTATATAAACCCAAAAATGACGGAGACCCAACTTTTACTGGCAATAAGCTGTGATATTGACAGACAGTCTCAGACAAGAGACACTGCAAAGAAACATTACTACTACTCACTGAAAAGTACTGCGCATTAGATCAAATGTGACAGGCAATCTCAATACTTCAATCTCAATACTTCAAAAGAACACAAAAATTCCAGAGACAAAACCATAATCAAGAGGTTTCCTTTGTGTCAAATAATATGTATGCCGTCTGCTTTATTTCTACGATAGAGTTACATGACGCACTTTACACAACTAATGTTAACTCAAACTTCACTTAATTTTGCTGGAAAGCTACTGTTCTGTTAACGATTAACGAGATAGCCTTGAACGGAAATCCCAGTCCCCTGCATGACGATGCAATTATCATACAGTATAAATCACTATACATGCAGATTTAAAAGAATCTTCGTGAAGTACCAAAATCTTGCATCCCCAAAACCTAGATACAGGCTACTGAATCTTAAGCACTAAAGGCAAATAAACTATATTAAGTAAAAAACAAAAAAAAACTCAAGTTCGTGACTCGTCAACATTTATTAAGAAGAATGCTGAGCAGTCATGCAAGTTTATCAACACGTGTCAGCGGTGACAGGCTGAGCAGATCTACACTGCCGAATTTTTCTAAGACACCACGATGAGGTGGCACATCAAGATATTATATTCTCTACCTACTTTTGCCTCATGTTCACCATTTCACTAAAGCGACAGCAGACATAAACTCGGCAATAAGCCAAACGTGAAAGATGAAAACCAATATATATATAAAGATATCTTGACCGGCAAAGGCAGAGGACGGAGTCAGCTGGTAACTGCTGACACCATAACAGCTACCTCAAGGGAGGGAAGTTAGCTAGCTCACTGCCCACCAGAAGGAGCCAAATAAATCTGAATCGGATCGCCACATTAGGGTTTAACTCATAAGTCACCTATCAAAAAAGGACCTTTCAACATCTGCCCTGCGTATCAAACGCGGAACAAACCTTAATTACTTTAGTCTCACTAAAGACACAGCAATCACATTGGCGATTAAGCTGGCTAGTTACACAGCCAGACACCTACCAGCCCTAGTTAGAAACTTTAAATGTCAGAGCCAAGGTAACACACCCAGTTAATACTCAGAAAGGCGCGTTCTCAGCTTGCTACCACAAAAAGGGAAATCATCCATCAAAAACGAGTCCTCGCCACGATGGTGTGTTGTCCGTCTGCTTAGCGTGACAGGGAGGCCCGGTTACAAGAGTCGCTCCTTCTAGTTGCCCGGTTAACCCGTTTTCCCAGCGACTCCCTTTTCACCCCCACCTCACCGCTAGGAGACTGTTTCCACTCATAAAAGGAGATACTAAGCACGAACAAGACAAAAACACTGCGCCGGAAATCCTCAGAGTACTTACCCGGAATGATACGCGTTATACAAACGTGCGCGCTTTCAGTTCATTCACGGCGACAGCTTTTGGTACGGCAGTCTGGTAAATTCCGTCGGTAAATTCCTCTCCGGAGCCAAGCGCCCCTCTTCCTGCCGCAGGTTGAGCTCGCGCAGAGCGTCTTCACGTTCGCGGCTGTGGCCGACGAGCGGCGCGCTTACGTCACGTGTCACCTCCAGCGCTGGGCGCCTTCTCCTGATTGTAGACGTTCTCCCATTCCCGCTTATACATTTTTTAAGATCTTTGTTTGTGTGGCTCCCAACCCAACCAATTCCTATTATACTGTTATGAGAAACCAGTTCCGTTTTTAACAAAGGTTCAGTAAACGATTGTCATTTATTTTGATGTACATCTCATCCCATCGTTAACATACATGACAATGAGAAAAGTGAGGTCCACTGGCACTGTTGTCGTTTTGCTGTTATTAAACAGTAATTACTCCTAGTAAATATTTTGGTTTAACAATTAACGGTAAATAATCTGCAATATAAATAAATGTAATCACTGTTAATATAAATATATTTTGTTTAGACATGTAAACATATAGTTAGGTAAGCAATGTAAAGCATTTTTAAATGACAGTATAAAATGGTTCCCCTGTGTGGTTTCCATGGATACCTATCTCCACTCACAGGATAAAACAAGCGTCACTGCAGTTTAAGCCTCCATCACATGGCAAACGAGTGAAGAAAACCATCTATATATGGAGACTGTGATACAATACTTTTATACATTTCAGTGACTATGAGCTTCCTAGTATCATCCAAATTTCAGAATTCAACTCTGAAGCATTGTCATACCAATAAAATAATCTACTATGTGCTACTCAGGCAAGGGACAACTGGTTAACTGGGCAACAGTCCACAAGATTCCTTTGGGATAATTCAACTCATGCCCAAATCCTTCAAAATATATGCCATGCCTTTCTTAATCGGGTAATGTACTGTGCAGGTTTTTCTGATCCCACACCCTACCCAGTATAATTTGATAAACAAATCCCACAATCCTAAGTCCTTGTTTACCTATCACAAGGAAACACCTTCTCAAAACCTAACCCTTTATATAACTCGTAAAAATAAAAAATACAAACTGTGTATTGATAGTTTTACCACACCTGAGGGCACCTTGACACCTTCCCCTCCCCGCAATCTGATACGTTGACAAACAGCCAATGTGTTTCGCAAGTTTCGAATTTCTGTCACTGCTGAAATTCCAGTTCTCTCAGCAGTCTGAGTCCAGTCAATACGACAATATCACTTTCCAGTAAACGGCACCTTTACTATCAGCATTTTTAGAGACCAGAACCATTTGATTTGATTTGATGAACCACATATGGAACTGCACCACCATAAACTGGGAGGTGTGGACCATACAGCTCACATAAATATCACACTAGAATTTAAATGAAAACAGACACAGGTTGTACAGGCGTAAAAGCTTAAAAGTTAGCAGATCCGTTACTTCCACATTTTAATTGATCATTACAAACCCCAACAGGCAAACATTTACATTACTTAAAAAGGATGTTCTGAGACCCATTGTACACCATGTGTGAAAGTTTGCTTTCCCACAAATAAAATATATACCAGTGCACTAAAATGAAAACTTTCTGTATTAAAAAAAAAACCCACTGGGTATTCATACATTTTCTCTTGAAATGTTTTGCACCGCCTAGTGTCAGCATGAGGTAATCACAATCTAAATGGGACCCATCTTTCAAGAACAGAACAATTCATATCAAAGAAATGCTGGTTTTGTTGTCTTGCTGCAAAAGCCCATACATTTTACTGAAAAAAAAGAACGAACAGTTACCCAATGTCCGAGAATTCGGGTAAAATACAATACCTTTGAAAGATGTACAGAGACCAGTTAAAAATGTACTCACCGAATAATCTTAAAAGGAAAAAACTGATATCTGAAATGCATTTTTTTCCCTTAGTGAGTCAGGTGGGCTCATTCACATAAGCGGGAACTGCCAGGATCTCAAATTTTGATTTAATAACACAGAGACAAGGAAATTAACTTTTATAAAATGTAAACACCTAAAAATGTGTATTAAATAATACCTAGAAAATTGTGTGTAAATTCTTTTAACAAAAGTAACCACACCAATTAACCTGTCAATTTCTGGAAGATAGCTACCATAAAACCTTGTTTTATACACCATCACAAAAGACTCCAACTTCTAAAGAAAAAAAAAAGAAAAAACATCACACACAACTATTAAAACAATAAAATAATAGGACTTCTGTTTTTACTTGTCAACTTGGGGATACGTGGAAGTGTTTAGAATTGACTAGTTAAAAAATATAATTCTGTAATTCCACAATGAAATTGCACTGTGTAATGTCTTCACTTCTTGTTTTTGGTTTGACTGCGAGGTGAGCTCTTAAGCAAGTCTCTTATCCTGAGGTAGACTCCAGTTGCCTCAGCGACATCCCGGTATTCCGGTGTGTCTTCAAACGGGATGATACCAGCTGCAAACTTGCTCCGGTGGGGAACAGAGGTCACCTTCCCTGTGAATTCAGATTGCTTCCCAGTTCTTGGACTGGCTGCTTCCATTTGCTGTGAGGGTTCATCCTGGGCTGTCTCCACATCACCCTGGGCTGTCTCCACATCACCCTGGGCTGTCTCCACATCACCCTGGGCTGTCTCCACATCACCCTGGGCTGTCTCCACATCACCCTGGTGGACCTCACTCTTTCCCACTTCTGTGACACAACTGTCCTCATCTACCTTATCTTTACAAACAAGGACTTCATCAGATGGTGCCGGACTGGAAAGGTCTTTGCCCTCGTTAGCAGTCAACTGTCTCTCTGTCTCCATTGTCTCCTCTATCTCTGGGTCAATCTGTGCAGGGGTGGAGGCACTGGAGGAGCTAATCAGCGGCGTTTCCACATTGGGCGTCTCAGAGTCACTGTTTGTGGCAGTGTCTGCACTTGCCAGGGCTGCCCAGATGAGCCTCTGCTGTTCCTCCAGCTCCTCCAGCGTTAGCCCGTCCTCCTCCACGGCCAGGTCCTCCAGCCCACTGCCAGCCTGCCCCCGCAAGGCAGGTGAGCCGCTGCTGCTAGGTGTGGCTGGAGGCGTGCCCCTGGGCAGTGGAGGTGGAGTGGGCGTGGCTGGAGGTGTACCCCTGGGCAGTGGAGGTGGAGTGTCCAGCCCAGGTGACCCAGGAGGCAGTGGGGGCTGGAACTGGAAGTTGTCAGAACTTCTGGAACTTCGCGTTTCTGAACCTGAAAGAAGACATGAAGAAGTACATGGGGGGGAGGGGCTCCTTCATGGTAATATTTGCAGAACAGACTTTCGCAAAAATATTTTTTCTTCAGGAGGAGAAAAACAAACAAAAACCGGTGACTAAAAGACATTAGCCTTCCACTACATGGAAATATTTTGGAATCCACAGAGATGATATTGAGCAAAAGCAAGTGATCTGTCAGAACGGCATTACGTCACGGCAACACCACCAACATATCTGAGCAACTCCATTGGTAGACTAACTGTTCTATTTGCCTGTAGTTTATTTTGGATACATTTTGAACTAATTTTTTTGCTAAAATACTGCAAAAAGATTCATATTGCGATATCTGAATTTTCCAATATTGTGCAAGAGCAATATTCTTCCTTCAGACTGACCTGAGTCAACATCCATGTCAGACGATCTTTCAAAATCTGACCGTCTCTTCTTTGAACGTCGAGGAGTTGAATCAGTCTCGTGAGATCTCTTACTACAGTTGGATCCAGGCTTTGAACAAAACATTATTATTGAAATGTATGTGATTTAATGTGAACATTATATTGATAAAAACCCAAACGACACTGCATTTTATATTTTATGAGTCATCTGTTTTATTCCTTACCGTTGGGAAACTTTTGGATAGATAAGCTGCAAAATTGTGTTTCAGGTGGACTGGCTGCATTGGGACAGATCCATAGAACCTCCATTCCTAAAAATGTAGAGTAAGACAGCAAACTGTAGTATCTGAACAAGACATTTAAGACCTAAATACGGTTAATTCATAACACCAATGTTGGGATGAAAGACATTGATACATACATCAGTTATATTGGCTGGTAGAGAAACATTGAAGCCAGGGAATTCAATCAGCTTGGAGACATCATAAGAGATTTTGTGCCTTTGAAATTGTTCATCTTCAGCTAGTTCTCCATCACCTGAAGCTTCACCAAGGCAGGGGGTGGGGTGGGGGGGTCCAAGTTAATACACCATACATCTCAATTATAACAAACATCTTCAAGGACTCGCCCCCAGCCATCCCAATGCAAACACACATGGAGAGGTTGTTGAACCACCGCCCTCAAATGTTTCCCACTGTTAAGCCACAGTGGGGGGGGGGGGGGGTGGCAGTACACAGTGGGTCCCATTGCTTAGCTGCATTCAACATGCATTCTTAATGGTATTCAGCAACTGGAAATGTCAAATAAATTACACATAACCTGGGAACAGGGAATGGACATTGCCTGGATGAAGCGCTTACCCTTGCCATCATAAAGTGCCAGCCCGGAATTCTCCATCTCCGCCTCCTTCAGCCACCCGGGGGGGTAGCCCAGCTGCCGCATGCGGTAGATAAACGGAGGCAGGCTATTCTGTGCCACACCCATAGCACCCAGCAGCTCCACACTGACCAGCAGGCACACAGTACACAAGTCAGCAAGACTCCTTTATACTTTTTCATGCCTTGAACTACAGGAATCCAAAGTCTCACTGCTTATATGAACCACAAATCATCAGTTTGGGTGAAAAATAATTATCCATATGAATGTTATGTTGATGACATACTGTACATTGATAATTACACTGGTTTACAAGGTTTTTGATTCCCTTTATAACTTTTGGTGTGCCAGTAGGATTTTGTGATGCTGAAAACAGAAAAAACTTAAAATCTTGCACATCACATAAGGTTTTTGAGAAACAGCTAATTTTGTTATAATTATTGTAATATTCATGTGATGTCATTTCTAGGCTATTTTGATAGTATATAACTCCTTATTAAAGTATGGGCATATCAGAGTAATTTAGAAAAAAAAAATCTAAAGTGTTAGGACCTTACAGAAGGGCACAAAGTACTGCAAGTCTGTATTGCCAGAGTTTACAGGCTATAACATGTTTGGACATGTTGAGACAGCACCCTGTTCTCTCTATGATATGGAAAAACAAGGCAAATGGAGCCCCAGTATGATTGCTGACTTCTGCTGGACACTTAAGAGCAGGGGTGGGCAATCTTACCCGCAAAGGGCCGGTGTGTTTGCGGGCTTTTGGAATAACTTGTAGATCAGCTGTTCAAACCCAGGTGTGAGGACTCTTCAGCCATTCAGTCCTCTAATTAGCGACCTAATTAGGGAGTTGCAGCGAAAACCTGCATACACACCGGCCCTTTGCGGATAAGATTGCCCACCCCTGCTTAAGAGGAATGTTCCTGAGGCCAAGTACAGCAGAAAATCATAAACATTAAGATGAGTCACTTCCACCATGCACATATACCGTAAATAAGTATAATGTAAGGTTTAACTGTGTCACTCAAAATCCTTACATGACAGGTAGATAGATAGATCAGCACAAACAATACCATAAGATTGTTTCATAAATCACAGAAGGTCAAAGTTAAAAAAAAATTGATGACCAGTGTTAATACATACTGGGTATCTTCATACAAGCCAACACCTAAATAAACACTGATGACCCAAAACATTATGAGCACTACTAAGAAAATAATGTTAACTATCTTGTAAAAACAGTGCATGTCAAGGTATAGAAAATGTTACATTAGGTTCTCGCAGCAGATATGTTGAATACAGAAGAAATGGGTAAAGATAAAGATGAGTGGCTTTGAAAAGGGGCAAATCATTATGGCCAGACAATTGGGTCAGAGCATCTTTGAAAGTGCAAGGCTGGTGGCGTGCTCACGGTCAGCCGTGGCGAGAACCTACTTGGAGTCCAAGGGGGGGGAAACTCATGAACTGCCAACAGGGAGTTCGGCGGCAAGGACTCCTCAGTGTCAGATGTGAAAGAAGGCTATCATGTCTGGTACAAACCAGCAGAAGGGCTATGGTGGCAAAAATGGCAGATCATCAAAATTATCACAGAAGTAATGTGTCATGAAACAAATGGCACTGAGCCCTGTTCTGTATGGGGCTATGTAGTCACAGGCCAGTTAGAGTGCCCATTCATCTGTCCATCATAGGAAGTGCTTATAATGGGCATTTGGAACAGGATCTTGGATAACAGGAGGTCATCTGGTCAGATTAATTTTTCTGCGGTATCATGTTGATGGCCAGGGATATGCTGAGCATCTGTGGGATGCACTGGACTGACAAGTCCCATCCATGGTGATGAAGCCCAAAACGCAATAAGGATCAATGCACTGTTTTTACAAGACAGTCAACATTATTCCTTCAAATAGAGCTGGTTATAATATTGTGGCTCACTGTTGTATAATCAAATGTAAAATATGTAATGTTCATTTATAAATTATAGCAACTTGCAATCTGGGACAAAATTCCAGGTTCTGACCTCACAATTCCAGGTTTGTATTTTCCAAAACGTTCCTCCACCTCTTCCTCGTGGTACCTCTGGTTGCTCTGATTGTTGCCCTGCGAAAACTCCTTCCGCTTCTCATTGATGCGGTTCATGTCCCTTGGCTTTGGGGGTGGGGAACAAACATTTTCCTCTTCATTGTAATCCACCAGTCACTAAGGAGAGTCTCTCTAATCAGCCAATAACTACATGGAGCAACTAACCATAATGTCTACTAGCGTGTCATAAAATATAGCCAATGCAAAATGATAAAACTGTCTTGCCTTGGTACAATCTTTCAGCTGATGTTCCTCTGAACCACAATTGAAGCAGCAGGACTTTGGTCTATAAGGAAAAGGCCAAAATTAGATTCCAGATGCTTCCACTGTATTCCATAAATATAAATAATATGTGGTGGGGAAGTACCTTTTCTCCTTGATCTGCAACTCCTGCCCATCTAAGGATATCACCTGGCCAAAGATCTGTTGGTATCTTTGCAACGCTGATTCAGGAAGCTCATGGGTAATGCTTTATGGGGGACTTCATGATATAAGCTACATCAGACATAAACACCATGGGTAAATGAGGCCATTACAGTGAGTACCATCACACCCCATGCTAGATGACAGATCAAGTATTAGGCGTGTGACTCTGGGATGCCAAGCACCCTTAAAATGAAAGCTAAAAGGTGGATAACGCCATCCATCCCAATGGTGACCTCAGTGGTGAGGATACTTGGGAATCTCCCATCCCTCTGTCAGTTGAGCGTTCTCGTTTAGGAGCGGCTGTCCTAGTTTGTCCAAACAGAAGCTGGTGAAGTACAGCACACTTCCTACCACCTACAAAAAAACACACCACATACATGTCTAAGATGCAGTGGACAAGACGCCAAAAGGCCTACCTATTACACATAACCACTTTCACTACTACATTGAGCCAAGAAAGCCAGTCAGTCAGTCGACTTTGCATACTCACTGTGAAAGCATCTTTGATCTTCCTGATGCCTGAGGTCATTTTTTCCTTTTCTTCCAGAACAAAACTTGAAGCCTGCATTAAAACAGGGCAGGAAGTTGAAATAATGAACACTCCTTTTCCATAAGCATCAATCAAAACATAATAAGACATTGCCTGTGGTTTGACATGAAAAGATGCTTTCTCCTTTTCCTCTTTCCCTTGTGACTCATGCTTCTTTATCAAATCAAATATGTAATCTTCAATCTCCTGGCGACATTGTCTGGGGGAAAAAAAAAAAACACACACACACACACAATATTAATTCAATGTCCTAATCATTTATTTAAAATAATAATAATAATAATAATAATAATAATAATATTCACCAAAGCATGAACTTACTTTGAGAGGTCATTGTTTGCAAATAGTATCTGGAGAAGTGGTCCGTCTAATCTAGTGTTCTCAACATTTATTCCGCTGGAAAAGAAAAGTTATTTTTAAATGCGCGTAAAACGTAACTATAGTACAATAAACGACCGCCTTAATTCCGAAAGTCTACATTATTTTATGACGTGCATCATATATCAGTTTTACCTTGGTCTTGTTAAGATGTTTAGCTTTCTTTTCAGCTCCTGATGTAAATGCATTATTAAGGAATACCAGTGAAAAGGTCAAGCAATCCACTCAGATGCGAGAAATGAAGAAATATGAGAATGTGAGAAATCTCTTTGCTCAACACCAATTAGCGGAGGTGGGTATCTACAATAAGAATAGAAAATGTAAATATAAGAATACGATGCAGCGACACGAGCATCCCGGAACAGGATTGCAAAGGACATCCCAGCAGGAAATCGAAAGTGAAACACTGTACTTACGACCAACATAGACACTGCGCCCACAACTGAATGGAGGAGAAACCTGGCGTCGGTAAACCTACACTGTATCCAGTTGTATCTAACATGCGAACCCGCTACTGAAACCTTCTGCCAGTCTTACATAAAATAACAGAAACAACAGCCGATGAGCAACGGGGGCGATGGAAATATTCGTAGAAACGGAAATAGATTCAAATAAGAAAAGATCAAGCTAAACACTGTATATCTTGCTAATTCCTGTTCGAACAGTAAGATTTCCCTTTCTGCGAGAGAGGCCACGGACACCAGCGGGACTCTCTCCTCCGCAGCACGCAAGGATATTTTCGGCGATTAGGCTGTCGATGGTCTCCTCATACTCCCCCAGCCTCTCCCGCAGCTGCCGGAGCTCCTCCAGGGCCTGGCCATCGTCTGCCCCACAGACTTGCGGCCGCGGCGGTGAGCCCCCCTCTAGCTGCTCGAATAGCTCGCCGTCACCGAAATCCAGCTCCGCCATGTTTGGCTGTGCCCGGTTCGGAGTTCAGGGGGTCAGAGGTAAAGGAGACGGGATCGCTGACTGGTGCAGCCGTAACTCCGCCTCTTCAGCCAGCGGTGACGGCGGCTGGAAATGGCTGTTTTGTGTTAGGAGCGCCCTTCCACTCTATCGAGGAGTTTTCCGTTTTCCTTGCTCTTTTTGCGCAGAGATTTTTTGTTTTAATTTAATTTCGTTTGGGGGATCTCATCAAGGGCCGGGCCTGATGTTCTGCTTTATGAAAAAAAAGACATCTAAAGTTTATAAGGGCTGCCGGTATGAAACTATGAAAAGAATGCTCGTATCTGTAAGACAAAGAAAAGTACGCCGGAGTGGCACCTACACAGCAACTTTATAATGCATTTATAATGATTTCCTCAGAACGGGTATTTATTGCCAGCATTGATTGTAATAACTGGGAGACGGTGTGCGCATGTTTAGTAGTGTAATATCCTTTTTCTTTTTCTCCCAGTATGATGATCAGTTGGTTTGAGGAGGCATTTCCACGAAATATTCGCGATAAAATATGGCACCCTGGCAGTCTTACGTGTACGGAGTTCCTACCCTAAGACAATGGCAGAGTCCCAGTTAATTTCCTCCATTTTTTTGCCCCACTGGCGAAGCGCTGATAGAGGGATCCGCTTCTTGTACCTTGCAGACTGTTGCTCCTTTAGGATCAGCCAGAGCTGCGATACCAAGGTTAGAGCCGTCTGGTATACTTCATTGCCCAGCCCGTGGGTGGTACTTGTTAATTACACCTAGATAATTGTTATTCCAGTTTTCCAGATGCCCTGCCAAGCAGGTTTTGAAAATATCTCACAATTAACGTCTCCTGTACGCCTGGCATGCCTGCCGCTGTAGTCCTGAGTACGCAATTAAGAGTTGCGAGTTACATAAAACCAGCAACTAGCAGCTCTTGATGACCGATTCAGTCTTAAGGACTTTGATATATCTTAATTAGCTAATTCATTGATAGGTGTGAATTGAAGCATGTTTTTAGTGTATACGTATTAATGGTGATTGTTTTTATGCAGGATTTATGTTGAATTGCATATAGAAATTAAAATTAATGATTGATGCCTGCTCTGACCAGATTTAATTTCGTAGTGCTGCAGTTTTTGTGTTCTCTAACTTGAAATGGTAAATGTATTCCATTTATATAGCGCATTTTTGCTACTCTTTAGAGTACTCAAAGCGCTTTTACAGTTTTTGCCTCACATTCACCCATTGACACACCGGTGGCGGAAATTACTATGAAACACATTAATATTGAACATTTGTTATACTACATGGGTAAATTCACAGTCTATGGCAATGAACAAAAACACTTGTCTTTATTTCTTACAGGACTCTATGCTTCCCCTGTTTCTTGGTGCAGACTTGTTCGCAAAAACTAGTATCCGAACTGAGAATCATCCTAGATACCATGCAAAGTTCGCTAAGAAAGGGCTGGCGACCAAACTTGTATTCTCATCCGGTAAAACATGAGATTTTGGTCAAAATAAACTTAAAAAACTTTCAAAAACAGAAGAAACTACCATCTGACAGTAGCTGTAACCCAGATTTTATGGTCTACAGGGTTCCGACTACATGGGTTGAGACTCCCCACTGGAAACAACAGTCTATGGTTTTACAGCATCCAGGGTGTTTTTCGTGTGGCTTTTGAGCTCTACAGCCAGCATGAGCAACTGTCTGTCTTGGAGGCTTTTCAGGTACTTTCCTTGCTTACACTAGTGGTTGACTGATATGGGTTTTTCAAGGGCAGTACTGGTATGTTAGAGTAATGTGACTGAAGACTGATGCATGTCTGATATTGGACAGTAGATAAACACAGATAAATAAGAAATACCAGTTCAGTAATGGAGTAATGGGTTCATCAGTATTTGATTAATGCAGAATCTAACTAATGCCTTGTCCACACATACACGGGTATATTTTAAAACATACCTTTTTCTATACGTCTTGGGCTTTTGTCCACACATAAACGGCGTCTCAGGTCACTGAAAACGGATCTTTTGCAAAACTCCATCCAGGGTGAAGGTTTTAAGAAACTCCGTTTTCAGCGTCGACATGTAGACATGGAGTTTTTGGCTCGAAACGTCAGATTGTGTGCCATCATCCACTTTAACGTCAGAGCGTGCGCTGTTTGCTGTATACATTAGGCGAGTTTGAGCAATGGCGGACTTAGCCGAAATAGTGCTTGTGCTAAACTTGCTGACAGGACTTCTTACATGTGTACAGATAAATGTTGAGTCTCTCTCGCATTATATTGATCAACATAGGCGTCGGAATGTGCACCATGGTTTTCAACTTAACAGGACTGGCAGTTAGGCTTCTGATTGGCTAACAGGGCAGTACGGTTAGAGTTATAATGCCACCTGTTGTTTTGGCATGCTCTTGATGGCGCATTTTAGCGGTTTCATGTGGATGGAAATTTTTTAGAATACCATGTTCGTGTGGACGGGGATTTTTTTTTAAATGGAGGAGGAAAAACACCGTTTTAAAATATACCTGTGTACGTGTGGACAAGGCATTAAACTGTCTCAAAAAAAACTAGGCTCAAGAAATTCAAGTATGGCAAAGAGAGCGAGCCCCATTTCTCAACCACTTTTTAGTAAATGGGGTTACAATGAGACATAGATCAACGGTGACTCCATTTTTTGGGGTTTAATGGGATGTTTTATGTAGTGGGCATGAATGCCAATTGTTTGAAGAGCTTGTTTGACAAGTTAGAGGGGCAAGATAGACGGAACAGTGGATGTGGGTATGGAAGTAGTGCAAATAAGGATTTGTAGTTTGTAGAATAGATCACCACCCCCAATTAAATTACACCAAATATTTCTGCACAAGACATTGTTTCATAACTAATTGTAAGTCTAACTGATCATGATGAAGGCTATTTAATGTTTCGCAGGAGTTGTGGAAGTCACGAATGAATGACAGCTCATTGAACATGTGTTACTATCTGAGCGTACAGCTGGATCCTCCAAGTCCAGAAGTTGTTGTGAAGATCCACGACAGAGAGCTGCAGCTGAGGTTGAGCTGCTCAAATGCCCCAGACATAGATGTACATTCCCCTCAGCTGCTGGAAAGTGGCAGCACCGCCTACCAGGAAGAGGAGAGCCCTCCTACAGTGACCTCAGCATCCGACCATGACTACTGTCGCCATGCACGTGTAACCTCCCCAGACTGGTATTACAGCACTTCCCGGAAAATCCAACGTTTATTGGTTATTTTGGAGGACTTGATGGGCGAGGTTGAGAGGGAGAAACAAGAGACTGTCTCGCTACTTTTGGAGCACATGGAGCAGTGTATGAAGAGTGGGTTAGATGAGAGGGGATTGTCTGACCTTGTATTGGGTCTCCTAGAGTCACAGGGACAGGGACAGGGAGCCATGGACCCAGGCTCTGTATACTGCAGCCCTCTGCTCTGCACCATTGCCGGGTGGCTGGGCCACCGTTTCAATGCTGCAAACGGCTGCATCAGCCAGCAGGTGGAGAGCTTTAAGATGCAGCACATCGACCACATCACGGATCTGCCGGCCGCCGAGGAGCTGGCCGGCGAGTTGTTTCCTGAGGCCATGCGGGTGCTGCTTCTGAACTGGATGGGTCTGAGTGACAGCGGTGCCGTCTGGAAGCGGCACAGCGAGTACCCCATCCTGCTCCTGATCCTCGAGTTTGCGAACCACAATCTTATCACTGGTGTGGCCCATGTCCTGTACTCTAGTTTGATATGCAAATAGACTAACATACAACATTTAAGATGCGACATACAATTTATTTTTACAAGTCATTGGTAGAGACCAGTAAGCCCATTATTTTTCATGTTGCCAAATCAATAAAGCACAATTATCAGCTCAGCCTTGAGATGAAAATTTCCATCTTCATTGAAGACTGAAGATTTTGGTTGTTCTTTGTCATGTGTTTGTGGGTGTGGACAGATGTTGAGTGTTTATAATGGAAAGTTAGCAGTAGGCCTTTAAACAATGCTTCTGTGCAAAACACCCAAAAAAGATGTTTGTTGTAAAATGTTTATTTTCCACGTCAGAATTGCCTTTTACCAGGACTGCCCCCATTGGTACAGTGGCTCACAAAATGCACAGAAATTATTATTCATGTACTTCTGCATACCATAAATGTAGGTATATTACCTAAACGTGACTATGGTCTTGTGCTTTTACTAGCATCTGTGACAATGAGGAGTGAATATTTTACATGAATTCCTTAAAATACAATTCAGCTGCTGCTACAATCCAACTGCTGCTGCAACTCTTCAGGTACTACAAATCTCAAAATCATTAAACAGCAGAACAATTTTCAATTTTTTATGATTTATTGAGGGAACAATTTTATATGAAGGATTGCTGATGTCGGCACTGACATACAGAACCACCGCCAGGGATACTACTCCCTCTGATTTATAAGGAAATTGAACAGTAAAACTAGTGAAGGCTTTCTGATCAAACGCTACATACCTCCTTTCCCAGATGAAATGGTAACTGATCTTTGACTTTACAGCTACAGAATGTTTCAAATGAAAATATATATACAATTTTAGTACAAAAAAAGCAGTCTCTTACCTCTGCTCCCCATGTTGTCATAGTCACATTAAACCATTGCATAATTTTTAAAAAGATTTCAACTGCTGAACTAAATCAGCATTTCACTATTTACATATGAATGTTCAGGTGACTTTTTCCCCCTCCCTTGAATTATGGTCAAATACAACATCCATGCAAGCTAGTACACTAGCTTCCCACCCCAAAATAAATGATAAGTTTACCCACAACAATGCTTTGACAATTCCCAGCAATACCTAGGAGCTAAGTACAGGTCAGGGAGAACAGTGTCACAGGGTGTCCATCCCCCTCGAGGAGAAGGAGGAAGAGAAGCCGAGACCCATTCCTCTCTGGGTGTGGGTTTGTGACCTGGCCATCTCATACTGAACATCCAAGTTTCGGAACATCTCCTCCTGCTGCTGGAGAGTCTTCAAGCCTTCATCATTGAGCAGGCCAGGGTCACCACCTTCCTCCTCACCCTGGGAAAAAGATGATATGGAGTGTCGATGAAAAATCGGGAGCAAACCAGACATGAAACATACAAGGCGGCAGCCTTCTGCTAGATTCTTACTCCTGTCCTTACTTTAGCCTAACTCGTTCAATTCTCATTTCCTTGTTAAATTTTGTAAATTTTACAGTAATACACAAGTTACAATAGGGTACTACAGGAGAGTGGCTCCCTGGGATGTAAACAGCAACCCTGTTTCCTGCTGCTTACTCGTCACACTACACAGAGAAGTGTCTTTCCACGGGCAGTATGTGGCCTGTTCACTTACTTTAATGCCCATCAGCTTGCGGAATTTAACATTTTGGTCCTTGTTTCCGAAGTTCAGCTTCTCCCACAGCTCAGCAGTCTGTGACTTGTCCTTAAGGAATGTATAACAAGTTTGTTAGTCTTCTCCCCAGGTCCATTCACAACACATTTCAAACTTCTAAAAAGCCATTTAAATTTAGTGAAACATTCCACAAAATTCAGCATAACAGCATACAGTAACCCCCTCACATTTGTGAGAGTTGGGGCCAGGAGATCCCTGTGAATGTGTAAATTCACAAATAAATCTTGGCACCCCTAACCGCAACCCATGTCTGCTAGCCAGAATGAACATAAAGTCTATTACCAATTTCTAAACAACCATTACTGTACTGTACGCTTTGCATGTCCAATAGCTTAGTCATTTCCTATGTTGACCTTTAATACAAAAAAACACCTAAAATGATACCCCTGTATGTACAAAGGGCGCTTTTCCACCACACCACGTACCGTACTTTTGGTGCTTCAAGGTGTTGGGTTTTCCACTGGCATGAAAACTGGTACCAGCGCTGAATGACATCAGAAAAACGAGGCAGGGTATTTGTACTGAATTCGAAAAATGGCTGTAGTATACTATAAGGCTGGCCGATGAGCGATACTAATACCAACATCACATGTTATGCATGTGCAATTCTTTGCTAGTCAGTTACATTAAAGAACAGGCTTGTTCTTATTTTCAGTTCTGTAAGGACATTGTAGCGCAGGGAGTTTAAATTTCACTAAACATTTTTATTTTGTCATAAGAAACAAAACTTAGCAAGCTTTGCAAATTTAATGATTGTTCCTTTTCAAGATTCACCAAAACATTTTTACTATAGCATAGGGGGAAAAAAAAAAAAAAAAAAAAAGCTAGCATTGCAATTGTAATTATTCCTTTTACAGATTATCTAATATGTTTAAAAATCAGTTTAAAGTTTACCTTCACTATTTAGCATGAGCGCTGCATGCATTCTTTAAGACAGTGGTTCCGAAACTGGGGGGCGCAGAGGTATTGCGGGGGGGGTGGGGGGGGGGCACCAATTGGCATAGCCTCAGTGGCATGTGCCACCCTAAAATAATCTCTTCACAGACTGGACAATTAAACAAATAAAGCAGCGCAACATTACAGTAACTAAAAATAAATGAACCACTAACTTACGTGTACTATTAGAGCATTTATGTAATTTATTTCAACTTTATTTTACCAGGTAAATTAACTGAAAACCAGTTCTCACTGCTTTACGTGAAATAGCAGATAACGCATCGGAACTTCCTGGGATACAAACGTCATACAAACGACATGTTCTTCAGCCAATAAGGGCAAAGTTGTGTCGTCACGGAGGCAGTTCCAGTTTGTTCAGCCGGCTGAGAGGTGCTGTACGATCTGTCTTAAGTCGTCTTGCTCTTGCAAGGTTTTTGTACCATGTGACATGGTGACACGTGACGACGTTTTGCAGCGCCGGACAAAAAAAAATAATAATCTAACCATATCATGAAAAACGAGGTTTAAAATTTTCTACATGAAGTGCAGGGAGATTATCAATTAATGGGTATGATTTAGTGTTGTTTTGTGCTATGGTATATGCTGAAACCTGCGGTTATCATTAAAACAAAATGCGGTAAACCTAAGACAAACTTTAATTTGTGTACGCCAATGAATATTAACAGGAATGTTAAATCTGCATTTGCATAATTTCAAATTTATGCTGGACTTTTATTTTTAATTGATTGCTCTTTTTTCTCCCACAGTGGTGAAATTGCACCACTTCTCTAAGAATCAATCATTTTGATTTGTGCTGCTTTAATCACTCCTAGATGGGTTTGTGAGAAATTTATTAACTCCATTCTACTTTATAAGTAGCCCAATATCTTTTACAACAAAATCACATCGCCAGGACAGCATGTTATATGCTTGCTGTCCAAGTATATTAAACAAAATAATTTATTATTATGTCATCCTGATCTTTTTGTAGATCTGTTTTTCTGACCAGATTGAATTTTTTTTCACTTTATCATTGTTTTCCAAGTTTGTAACTTTTTTCAAGATTATGGTTATATTGTGTTTACAGGCATGCTATTTGCATAATCAATCAACAGAGAAAGCGTTTGAAATCCCAGTACCAAAGGTACCCCAGCTGGTTTGGCACTTTTGGTACTGGTACTCGACTGGAAGTCAATGGAGAGTGGAAAGTAACAAAAGTACCATACCAAAAGTACAGTACTTGGTGAGGTAGAATAGCACCCATTACATTGAAAAGTCGAGAAACATGAGCTTCCACCGTCACAAAAACAGCTAACATGTGAGTGAGGCTGGTTGCTGAGACAAGTGTGTGTCATACCCAAGTCAAGACTAAATATTAAAAATAGTATGCATTTACACTAACAAATGTTTTACTAATATTTCTATATTACATGTAACACATACCCAAATAATTCAATACTGTATTTAGCATCAACTGCAAGTTTCTGTAATCTTTCTGCAAGCTCTCAAAATATTCTTGTTTAATTGTTCACGGCCAGCTCACAAATAATCAAAACTGTCAATTGTAAATACGCAAATCTGGAGGAGCGACTTTATTTGGGAACTTCTTTTAGTGAAGGTAGCCTGTCCTTACCCCTTCTTTCTTGCCCTGCCACAGCATCTTCCTCTTCTTCTCCTGCTCTGCGAACTTCACAGGGTTAACGGCGGATGGGTTGTAATAACTGGGGACAGCAATGCCCGTCTCTGCCAAGGTCTTGGCCTGCAAAGCCGCCATCTGGGCTGCCATGGCGATCTGAGGAGTGACCTGCGTCCCCGAAGCCAGAAGTGCCGCCACATTCAGGACCGAGCTGCTGGTAGCCGCAGCAACCGGATCGCACAATAGAGGGGCGGCTACTGGACCGAAGGAAATGAAAGGAAACAACTTGTTGCACGTGTTCAAAAGGCTTACAAGGAATCGTCATTGGCAGTGGCCTCTCGAGTGCACGTATGGAAAATGCTTCTGACCTGCAACCATTTCCTGCTGCTGCTGCTGTTTCTCCAACATTTCCTTCTCTTTCTGTTCCTGGAGCTTCTTTGCTCTTTCCAATCTAAGGGAAACAAAGGGGATACATTGCTATTAACACAAAAAAAGGGACAATATTACCCTAATGACAACAAAAGAGCAGCAATACCTTCTGGCCAAGGCCTCTTGTGCATCCATGGCAGTGTTCCTACCCCGGAACGCCAGAGGACTCGGTGACCTGCTACGCGTCTTCCTGCGTGGTTTTTCACTCCTTTTCTTCCTTTCTCTTGAAGAGAGTGCCTATGTCAGCCATTTTCACGCTTGACACCTATGGTGAGGAAGACGGCTGTAGCTGCTGACCTGCTCTTACTGCGAGTCCTGCTCCGGTGTCGGTGTTTGCTCCGTGACCTTGAACGAGACCTGGCACGCCGCTTCCTGTCCCGACTTCTTGAGCGCCTGTCCCTGCTCCGGGAGTGTGATCTCCGCTTGTCTCGACTTCTGCTGCGATGTCGCCTGTAATTGCCGGAGGCCAGCGATGTCGCACACAGAATAAGCATCTAGGTCTGCCCGAGGCTCTGCGCACAGACATTTGCGCACTCAATAACCCCAAAAGCTGACCTTACCTCTCGCGTGAACGTGACTTGGAGTGGCTCCTGCCCCGCGATGTCTTGCTATCCTTCCGTCTATGTCGATCCTCTCCATTCTCAGCCACCAGCCTCTCCCGGCCTTTCTCAGACTGCTCACGCTCGTGCGGTTCCTCAGATTTGTGCAATTTGGAGGTTCTGTCGCACTCCCGCCTTCGAGCCTGTTTTAAGAAGAAGTTGGTTCTTTCAGGAAAATAGTGCAACAAAGAGAGTTAGTATGAGTTCTAAAATGTCTGCAAAGACATGTAGAGAAGGTCATTGTTCATAAATCACAAACCCCAAACCCATAACTCATGAAAGCATGATAGAACTGTAACACACAGTCCTTGCGACAAACGTTCTGTTTGGAGATCCTCGCAGAAGTAAAAAAGGCAAACCTGTCATACGATTATTTAAACAAAAAAAAAAAAAGCAGCTTAATGTTTGGGAATATGGGATCAAATTATGAACATCGTTTTGACAGGCTACATTTTTATACTATGAACAGTTTTCTCCTCACCCCTTACCAAGAATGCACACACTCAAGCTTGATTGACAAAATGCTTGGAATAAAACACCATCCCTGTCAGTTTCTCCTAAGAATCCTGTGAAACCTGTGATCTCCTGTTAAATGCTAATAAATCTTGCATATGAATGCTATTCCCTTTCCCCTTTCCATATGTTTCTGGAGTATTGTTGTGCTTATGATATATTAGTGCATTTTGTTCCTGTTCAAGTAGCTACACAGATCAAGGTTTTGTACATCATGTACAGAGGTGTCATTGCATCCTGCAGGATGTTTTAAAGGACTGGGGCACCATTCAGAGAAACCCAGCAGCTCTTGGGTTGGGATTCAACTTAAAAGTGAAATAATCAGGAATGCTGCTTAACCGAAATACAAAAAAAAATCTGTTTTCTAACAAGGGAAATATGAGTTGGCTGATAGTTACCTTTCCAGGAAGTAGGCATATAATTTTGCTATCTGTCAGCAGGGTCTTCAGTTCAGAGTGTCTCTTCGTGCATTAGCACGCTGAGTATGATTTATTATAGAAATGTTATCATGTGATCTACACAAAGGAGTTAACAAAAAAAGGAAAACGCTCCTAGACAAGCATATTTAATCTAATACCGATTTAAACGCTACTTGAAACTGGTACTTCAAAAATGACACTTCTTAGTGGGGGAGGGGGGTAAACATTTACCCTTTTCATTTCATTTATTGTCAGCCATGCTTCTTTTTATAACCCAATATGGAACTGCAATTTTTTATGTTTCCGTACTTACCATCAACTACAATTACATAAAGGGCAAATAGCTATGTTAAATGAGCTTAGCCCTAACCGAGAGCGATTGTCTAAGACTAGTTACCTCTTTGCTCCGGCTGCGACTCTGCCTGTGCCTCTTGTCAGCTAGAAAATGAGAAACAGATGAACTTGAAACAGCAGCAGTTCATCCCAAACAAACCAAAGAACAAAAATAAATTAAATAAGTTTTCCGTTGTATTCAACTAGCATGACCAACGAGAAAAACTTCTCCTGCAAATAACTGATATGATGCAGAGTTCCCTCACTTCACAGAAACGAGGTCCTCAGGCACAAAGCTTTAGTTAACATAGTAACCTTTACCAAATAAATTGCAAACGGCTTATTCTTGGGACCTGAACTTCAAAGTGCACAATCCCAAAGCATATAGCTTTATGCTGCTTAATTTAAGTTGAGTGCAACTTACTTGATTTTCGTTTTCGGTCTCTTGAATGTGATCTTGACCTGGAACGATGCTGCTTCGAACTTCGGGGTGATTTGGAAGAATCCATGCTCTGCTTCCTCCGGTCCTGCTCCGGTGGTGACCTTTTTGGCAGCAGCGTGTCTACATTGGCGTCGCTGGCCTGGATACACACACAGAATCAATGTCCAACAATCAAAAACAACTATGATGTCACCATCCCACTATAAATTACATTGAAATTTAATTGTGCCACCTAAATCTGGTGTGCCTGCATGTAATTTTAAAAGCAAAAGCACTTATCATACAATTTCTTACTCGTTTCTAACTCACAACTAAAAGTTACAATTACGATGGTGTAACTACAATTTTTAACCACTGAATCACCCCGGTACTTTAACACATCATTATAACGTATCCTACTAGAAAATTATACATGGTAATTCTTCTAATCCTATAAGTGGTGTTGCCTGATTAAAAAAAAAAATACATTTACCAAGTAGGGCAACATAATTTCGACTGGATGAACGTAAACATTGAGTAATATATAACAGGTTATTTTTCTAGATATATATAGTAAGTTTATTGATTAATTGTCATTGTTACTGCAGAAATATGATGCAAAAAATAATCCTGATCCCGCTATCGATTTCCTAACTACTGCTAAGACAGCAAACATTTCAAACTAGCTGGTTAGTCGGGCAGCTATACTCTATTGATAGATCAATATTTAAAAAAAATCCGACACCGGCAGGAATGGGAGTTATATCATAACATAAGTCCACAGTGAGTATGGAGTATGGAACTATCTTAACTGCAATCTTTGCTTAAAACCATCCTCAACACTGAAGGCGAGCTTGTGATTAAATTTGTAACATCTCAACACCGACGTCTCGACATGGCTGCCGAGACGCCATCTTGTCACGATGTGTTTATCTATAGCAATTTTCGTCACATTTTTATGCCAATATTGATCCGCCTTTTCCTTGTTCAGAAGCTCCATATCCACTTACCGCCATATTATAAATATTCTACTACAGTAAACTCCTTGATTTAAGACTACTTTTCGCCTCTTCGTCTCACCCGCCACACTGCCGGAGCCGCCTCTACTCTCCGCAGTGACCGCGGTTCCTAGGAGGTAGTCGCGGAGCATCCTGGGCTCAGTGCGCGTGACGCAAAATTTGTCGTCAGGGGTGCACGCGCGGACGGTGAGCGTGCAGCCGAAATTGGCGATTTATAGTGCTAGTTGCTTTGTTACGCTTCCAGTAGGTGGAAGCACCAACTTTCACATTGCAGAGATAAATAAATGAGCAGCAGAGTAGATGTTATGGATACTTAAGATGAGCAACTATGTGACGAGGTGTGGAGGTACCCACACATATATAACTCGTCACTGAAGGAGCATAGAGATATTCCGGTGTACGAATTCATGGAAGGAAATCGCCGAAACACTGGGCAAAGATGAGAGGTTCTGCAGGTATAGATGGAAGTACCTGAGAGACAGATTTGTGAAAGCAAAACGTAAGACCGTTGGAAGGAGTGGCAACAAACAAACCTCACATATCCTAATCAAGCTGAGCTGGCTTTCGGATTTTGTCAAACACAGGGGGATTGATTGCAATTTGGTAAGTGACATGGTAAGTTCCGAATTGCATCATGACAGAAATATCCATCTATGAAATCTATAGCCACACAGTCACTCTATTGAGTTATGTGTTCGTAGGGGGTAAATCTAGGTAAAACAAAAACCTCTTTGGGTGCAAATTAATGCTGCACCTTGATGGCTGATGGAACTCTGCAAGTAGAATTAGTTTTTAAGACCGGGCGAATGATTGGACACGAATGTACTTCCTGAGCAGTACGTTTGGATATTACAGAAACGGTTTATTTAAAACCCTGGTGGTTGCTGATTCGACTGGGAAAAGGGAAACATTTTTGCTAGTGTTGTAAGTCAGCATTACTTTCTCTATCCCTGCCTTCAAGTCATGTCGGAAAAATCGTAAATACGAGAGGAGAGCACATGAACGCCACTACATAGTTTCAATTACTAGTGGGGAAACTCGGGATTTCTGCCCCGAGTTCCCGAGTTGGGGGCGTGTGTTTACAACAATCATGGTTTAGCAATGGATAGCTCCACTGTGAAATTAGATGGCTTTTTGGCTCAAAATTTGATATTAAGTTAGTTGGCTACCTATTGATTAAGCAACGGATTACGAAAAGTAATGTAATAATTTATTTTGTTTTTACGTATATTAATCTATTAACTGTTATGTTGTAAACTGGACAAGCTAGTAACTAGTTAGCAACAAACAAATTAGTTTCCTTTGCTCTTCTTGAAGTCCAATTAACGCTATGAATGCGTTTTGGCGTTGGAGGAACGAGAAATTAAGCGTAACAAGAAGTATCTTTCTTATCGCCTCCATTTGGTTCCGACGTAACCATTTGAACGCGCGTCTTGTCGTAATTATGATTTTCCAACTCCCTAGTGGGATCTTCGGAGTAGCACTTGAAGGCAACATATGTTACTGACGCCTATACGTTACTTACTTCATGCTATCAACGTTTCAGACCAAGTGCACATGAAATAGTGACACTGGCTGGTCCACCTCGTAGAATTCTCAGGCCCAGGTCAAAGTCACTAAGGCTGGCCCCCCTTGATGTGCAAATCCACTCACCTGGGCTCTCCTCTGGGTCCCCTTGGCCTGGGACAACTTCCCCAGTTGTCTCACTAGGACAGCAGACTCAGACACTGGAATTGGAGTACAACGCCTTTGGATCCTCTGTCACTGAAATGGAGCAAGAGACATTTACAGGAAACTATAGCCCACCGTCTCCATCCCAATCTGATGTCTCAGTCCAGTACTCCAGCACATATGCAAGTCCCCAATGCCAGAGCTCAAGAAAGCAGAAAGAAGTCCCGACGTCTTGGACAGAAGCAGTGATGTCACGCCTACAGAAGACTGACCAAGAAGGTGGCTGTGAGGAGCTATCCTTTGGACGATATGTTGGCCAGGCACTTTTAAAAATGGGCCAAAAAACAAGATCCTGTGCAAAATTTGAAATCAGTCAGGTGCTGCACAAGTGGGAGATTAAGCCTCATCGCAGTGGAATTGTCTGATTTTAGGTACTGACAGGTAAGCAAGGGAAAGTGTAAAAACTGACCCCAAATGGTTCAGACTCAATTTATCATTTTCTCTCTAGAAGTGTCACATTTGGATATTTTTTTCATGATAATAAATGATATTTCTTACTTTCTTGCAAACCTATGCCTTATTTCTTTCAAAATCTTCACTGAAATTATCAATTGAAATGTCATTACTCAGATAAAATATTGGTCAGTTTCACCCTCAGTATTATCATAAAAACCTTCAAAAAGACCCACTAAACTAGGTACCAAAATAAAGCCGGAAAAGGTTTTTCAGGAGATTCACACACATAGTCATCATCAGAAACCTCCCATGGAAATAAAAGCGAGGTTGCCACTTATCCAGGCAGGGGGTCCAAAAGCCATACCCAAAAAAACACTCAAGATTATGACTTGAACTTTTTTCCTGTTAAGTTACTGTATGAACATTATGTATTAAAATTGCTGTTCAATGCCATTTTTTGCAAATGCAATGGAAGATGACGTCAATATTGATAAACACTATTGTCTTAATCTGTACGTATAAATTCGCTATACGACTGCAAAGCATAAAGCTATGCTACTTGATTCAATGACTTGGATCGCTGTAAAATTAACCTTTTAACAGACGTACTTCCCGTTCAATAGTTTCGCCTACTTCCGTAATCGTCTGAGAATAAACCAATCTATTTTCACAGGGGCGTGTTTCTGGGGGGAGATAGTTGACGCTCCCCCCACATATATATATAGAACCCAACGATTTGCGGTTACACCCGGAAGCACTATCACTGCGCTCTGGCGCCAAATTTTAAGTACTGCAGCACAAATGTCCATGTTTTGATACCCCGTAGCCGAGATGTGGAACGATGTGGAATTGCTGACTAGCGACGACACCGGGACGGTGCGCCTGGCCGTCGACTCGAGCCGGGAGTGCGGCAGCGCCCTGTACCAAGTCGACACGCTTGTCAAGCTTTCCTGCGCAGAAAGAGTGAGTGTGTCAGTCTCGCGGTGAAGGTCTGCTGTCTGCAATGGGCAGCAGTCTACATTGTCTAAATACTTTAATTGCCAGTCGGTCAAGGTGATCATGACAGCATCAGCTGGGACATCCTAAAGCGCTTAACGTGGGAAAAAAAACTTAACGTGGAGTAGTGTTCATATCTGGTCGTAAATATTTCCACCAGGTAAAAAAAATGAAAACCGAAATGCTAGTCGTATAGACCATGGGTGTCGTTAGATCCCTTATACTGGGGCACGGGCTCCAGTATTTATGTGCTCTGCCCCAGTAAAATCTTACGTTAACATCGTATGGGTAATCGGGGGTGGGGGCCTGTGCCCCAATAGGACTTTATGTGTAGCACCGGCCCTGGTATGGACACCATCTCTTAAACGATTTCCGCTCCATTGACGCCCATTATAAGGGAAAAGCTTAACGTGTCCGACAGTCCGAGAGAAATTTGGTGATTATTGGTGGCAATTTTGGAAGATTATGTCACGTTAAGCGTTTTAGTATGTCCCCCATCAGTTCATTTACAGACGTTCCTGCTATTCATTGAATTGTTTTTAATTTTCGTTGTTTCTTTTTTTGTAAAGGTTGACGTAAAAACGGAATTAATTAAATCGTTTAACACATTCGCATGTAACACGAAGACCTGCCCGATTATTGCTGTCATAGATCTCGCACCAACCAGCGCTGTATGCCTGCACCAGTTCTGACTGCACCGTGGTGGTGGCCGATACCACAGTGGTCCTCTTTGACCAGAGCTTTCAGTCCGTTTTGCTGCACCTCAACTTCGGTAGGTCTTTCGACTTCAGTGATTCAGGTCGCATCTCCGTTGTCTGATTCAGAGACCATTCCCCACCTCCCCCATTCATTTTCACCTTATTGCAGACACTAATGTGGATGCAGTGGGCGTTTGCCCGGCGGGGCAGTTCTTGCTCGTTGGGGAAAGGAGTGGAAAACTTCATCTTATATATGTACCACAGAAAAGGACCGTGTTTACTAAAGTGAGTAGTATGATATCCTGCTTATTTATCACAAAATATGCATATTTTTGTTCAGTGTACGGGGCCACTCTTAATATCATCCGATGGTTTTCATAACAATGGTGATGAGATTGCTTGTTTTTTGGAAGGCTGTTCTTCAGAAAGGATCTTCAGAAAAAGATAAGACGTACAAAAACCTTATCATGAAGGAAGATGCCGTTACTTTAGGTGAGTTGTTTTGGGATGAACAAAGCCCGTGTAATTCTGTCATTTTCGTTTTTATCGGGGTGCGTTTCCCGATAACGATCTTGGTGAATAACGAACGACGCATGCAAAGAACGAGTGAGATTTGCTAGTGTTTCACAAAACCATTGATTATTTCCAGATTTAACCAAAGTTAAAGTTCTTTCTTGGCTCGTCCCCAGCCTCCACGTGAGAAAAGCACTGTTGGTAACAGTCCCACGTATTTCAGGGGGTGTGTTATATTCAAGTACGTCATGATATTGTCAAATCAGTCATATGTAAAAAATAATTTTTAAATTAAATGAATTATTGCGTGTAAATGATGCAGGAATGTATCGCAACACTCCCATGTTAAGCGCCTTGGGGCAACTCTGTTGTGAAAGGTACTATATAAAAATCAATTGAATTGGAAAAAAATCAGTCAAAACACTCCAAAACACACAAAATTGCACCCAAAACAAATTAACCTATTTAGTCTAAAATATATTAATGAGCTCAAAACATAACGTGGCTTCCTTGTAAGAAGATTGTGAGCATAGCAGTAGGAAAAGGAAGCAACACTTCTCAAACAAAACATTGAAACAAGTGATTGCGAAGGTTGCCAAAAAATAAATTTTTACTGCAGTGTTGTGCAGCATAGCACACACAACAATACCAGCACAGCAGCATTCCAGGGAATATCTTCGAGCTCCCAAGTACCAATGCAGATACCTGTATTACCTCTTCCACATGCCCCAAGTGTGCCCTACAGTAGTGCATGTTCTTTGGTGTTCTTGGCATGTTCTCTCAGCCACAGTTTAGGGATTCAATACTGTAGTCAGTAGGCATTTGTGAAGAGGTCACCTGCTGTCTTTCAATAACCTGCTCTAGCACCATCATTTGCTGTCTGACACTCCAAAGCTGGACCACATCAACAGCATCATGTGTCCCAGGCCCCTTGGCCATAATCTCTGTAAAATTCTTTGACATTTAGGCCTAGTGCCAAGAACAGTTTTTGACAGGTGCGGATGGGATTCAAGAGGCTGTCAGTATGAATAGGGTTGAGGGTTCCATCCACTGCACCTACAATGCCAGGTATTGCTACAATGGCATGAAAACCAGTTTTAGTGTCATGTAAGGCATCCCCTCCTGCTGGACATTGTATGCAGTTGTGCTCATTTTGCAACAAGAATGTGTTTAATGCATGCACAGATGCAGGACACAGCCTTCTGAGGCCATGTCCATGACTGATGGTCTGCAGGTATGCACTGGTGGCATAGACAGAGACCTGTCAGAAGCCGCACAGTGGGACTTAGGGTAAAACTCCAGCGTGTTGTTCTTTTCAATTAATCTTGCACCAGAGCAACGGGGCTCATTGTTTCACCCCAGAGCAGCCTGTGTTTCTGTATTGAGTATTACTAACTATCTGACTATCCAAGGCAGGGGTGGAGGAGGGATCTCACAGAGGGGGGGGAGTTGGTCCTCTTGGTGAAATTTTGCCAACCTGCGGAGAGTGGGTTTGCTGCAATTGGATATAAGTTTTGTGTGATGGCCTGTTATCTAAGGGGGCATTTGGTAAAACTGGCTCACCTGGGGGGGTGGGGGGCAGTTAAATTTTGCAGTAAGCCCCCTGTTGTGATGGGGGTCCAAGGGGGTTATGTCTATCCACAAAACAACATTTAGACCAGCAAATCGCAATGTTATTACAAAATATCATTTAAAGATCTTGTGTAAAAACAACAGGATTATTAGGAGAGACTATTTAATTAAATTGTATTTCTCTGTATATATGGTGTAGCCAAAATGTATTTGTACTAGGGCTGTCAAAATTAATGGGTTAACGCGGATTAATCCATCATCATGATTAATCTGATTAAAATTTTTAACGAAATTAACCCATCTGCAACGCAGAATGAGTCAAAATCCCTGAAATGTCTCTGTCAACCCATTTCGGGCAGTTTTGATGCGTTCCATTTGCCCTGGGAACTCGTATTCTGAGTCGGATTCCGAGTTTTGAAAGCCGGAAGTGACGCCATGCGTGCTCCCGTTTCTCGGAGATCCGAGAAATATCTCGGAGCTGCACAGAGGATCCCGAGTTCAGAACCCAAGATGGCTGCGCCTTTTATCAACAGAAGGGAAAGTTGTAGTTTTATACTGTTTAAGCACTACTTCTCATTTGTGGCTCATTAAATCGGTCACACACACTATACCGTCCAACTTATCTGTGGACGTGTTGCTACAGAGTTTTATACGTAAAGCACCGCATGTAATGTGTTATCAACTGATATTGCTAAAAATGGCAATTAACCGGGCTAGAATTGGATTTCATGATTAGTCGGATTATTATCGGATTTACGGTAGTTAGGGCTAATTGTAAGTGAACGAAGATAAAGACCATTTAAACTGAGGTACCTTAAATCCAACAAGTTGTCCGGCTAAGCAAAAAATCTTGCTTTTTGATAAGGGTCCATGGTATTGCACTTCTGTGGCAGATGGAATGCATCCGACTAGTGTCCAAGATATTCAATAAACATGTTAAGTGCATATATATTCCCTTTTTTCTTGAGCCTGTTTGCTCATGCAAAATGAAATGCGATTAATATAGATTAAAAATAAATTATATTTAATTGTGATTAATCGAAATTAATCAACAGCAACCCTGTGATTAATCTGATTAAAAATTTTAATCGTTTGACAGCACTAATTTGTACACTGAAAAAAATGGAAAGAAAGTTGAGGATATTGAAGAACAAATTTTAAAAACTGTGTTACGTAAAGAAACAAACATATTCAAAACATATTCTGCAGTGTCGCAGAAAATAAGTGGGTCGGATCGCTCATTGATTTACAAACAGGGTTACGAAATACTTGTACAAAGGGTTTTGAGAAAAGCTTACTACTTATCAAATGGTCTTAAGTACGAGATAACAAAGTACTTAAGCTTTCATGAAACACACCCCAGTATCATCAGAATTGAATCATACTGGATGTTGCCTTTTGAATGCTTGCTCCTTTCACTGTGTAGGGTCATACCACTTGTTCCTCATTGTATCGGATGGATTTTTTCATGTCTTCAATCTTGAACTGGAAAACATTGAAAGAGGTATGTTTTTTTTTTATCTGTATCCTTGTCTTCATTTGTGTGTGGAAGTATGTAATGCCTTTTTGTAAATAGTGCCAGTGTGAAGAATCATTTTTTACTCTGCTAAACTTTTCTGTTTAATTACAGCAATTGACACAATGGACTTTGGATTATTAAAAAAGGTATATGCCCTTTTCTTATTCTTAAAGTTGGTGTGAGACTTGGATAAAAGGAGTATGATATGGTAATTTATTACATTTTATTTCTCACTTTTGCCAGTGTCAGTCACTTATAAAGACAGAGTTTTCCAGTACAAAGGAGATCCACAGCAGAGGATGCTTTGCAGCTGTGACCTCTGATGCTGCCAACCAAATCATACTTGGGGTACGGTTAGGACTGAAAATAAGTAATGATGGATATTTTTACTCATAATGGATGGTCGTGAGTCTTAAGGTCAGAATAATTAAAGGACAGCAATGTTCACCCCTTATTCAGATACAGTCGTCGCTTATTTATCGTGGTTAATCCGTTCCAGACTCTACCGCGTTAAATGAATTTCCGCGAAGTAGGATTCTTTATTATTCGGCTGCACCTGCTGTTGTAGGATTTGTGGGGGTGCTCGAATACATAGGCCTACAGTCCATACGTAAAGTAATTTTAATTGTAATACAGAGGTGTATAATTGACTCAGGCAACCGAGCGCACGCTGTATCATTTTCACTGTCTATCAACTTTTTAATGAATAAATGTATTTGAAATACCAAATGCATTGTGAAAAAGAGTAATAAAATTTTACAGTCAATATCCTCAATTTCATTTCCATTTTGACCATTCTTTTTCCACAGTGTACAAACAATTTTTTGCTACTTTGTAACAGATGCTGTTTGTGTTGTCTGAATTCAGGGAGGCGGGGAAAAGGTGCTGTCCCAGTGGAAGATGGATCCTGTTCAGCACACAATGGCTGTCTGCCATGTCATGGACTCCAGTTTAGTTTCAGGTATCCCTGATGACCATTTTAAGGAAAGGTGTAATACATGTGCCTGCAGTCTTATCCAGAGCAATTTTAAAATTGTGATTTTTCTGTTTTTTGATTTAATGTGTGAAAAGCATTTTAAACAGGGCAGTTTAAACCTACCTATTGTAGGTCAAACAATGCTATGAGACTAAGCAGGTATGTTAAGATATGAAGAGAAATGCAGTTCACTGTTGGTGCGTGTGTTATGTCTGAATGAAGCTAGAAATGTTTTGTCATTAGTCATGTTTCAGGCTAGTTTGAAATGCTTGAAACTCCTTGTGTTTGTGTGGCAGGGGTGAGGAAGATTCAGCTCCTGGACAATCTGATGTATGTTCTTGATGAGGAGGTGAGCTTTGCTCCAGCCCTGCAGAATCAGTTATGGTGGTCATTGCCAGTCTTAAGAATCATACTTCATACCATATTTGCTGGCGAAATAAACAAGCCACCTATTACAGGGATGGGCAACTTTTAGTCTTCTGTCACTTCAGTCGGATATTCAGCTCAGCCTTAGTGTTTTAACATTTCTCCCGCTAACTGTTTCCCGCACCTCCTAGTGATTAGGCTGTCCTGTATGCAAGTATTTACTTCAAAATGTTTTTTTATTTTGTTCATTTATTAATCATACATTTAGTACCTGTGCACAGTGACCGTGCCGGGAAAAAAATAGTGGAGAGGGCCATATGCAGCCTTTGGGCCACCAGTTGCCCATCCTTACGCTAGAGGATAAACACTTATGTCTGTGGTTTGAATTGTTTGTACATGTACAAAATTACTATGAAGAAGCAGTGTGTTATCCTATGGTTTTGGGTTTTTCCCATACATTTGAGGGACATCAATAGGCTGTATTTGTTTATTAAAGACAAAATACCTGTCTTCAAATACAGTAACAAGTGTGGAGACATGCTCAGATGTGCTGGTGCTTCTGTCTTTCCATGGACGCTTCATTTAGAATATTCTGAGCATCTGGGATGTGAATTTCCTTGTGATGGTGTGGTGTTGGCCAGAGACCCCCTTTCTTGACTTCCTGGTCACAGCTGAGGGAGAATCATCGTCGTCGTCTATGTATGTACCTTGTCAGCCATTTTTAATGTGCACTTCTGTTTTTCTCGGACTATGTTCAAATATTTATAATGTGCTTTCTCCCATTATTAGGCAAGAAGGCACCAATGTGAAACTCATCACTTTGACCATGCCCAACAGTAATTTGGTAATTACTGGTTATTTCAAAGCATTTAAAAATATTTACAAGCATACTAGCCTCATTTCATAAATGGCCAGTGCAGAAAATGGAGATATTCCTAGTATTTTCATTTTGTGATTATTGATGATTTTGGTTAATAGAGGATCTTCCATACACATTTTACAGATTACATTTAGATTTACAGTGTAGCCAAAAATTATTTGTACACTGAAAAAATGGTCAAAAATGGCAATGAAGATATTGGAACAGGATACTGAAGAACCAACTTGAAAAACTGTCTAAAATGTTTTCTAATGATGTTATTTATTGCCTTCAAACAATTATTTGTATACCTGGCCATTCATAGAGTTGAACGAGTATGTGACAATGGGAGGAGTTGCCAGTCATAATAGAGATCATTTAACACAACACATAACCGCAGATGTTCCAAAGAGGTAATTTGGGCGCCCTTAGTTTCTACAAGTAACCTTGGTGGTCATTCTCCACAGGCATTTGTAGGGTTAGTTGAGATTCCCAACATGGCTGAAACTGTTGAAATACCAAATACATCGAGGAAAAGTAATAAAATTGCACAATTAATATCCTCAATTTCATTTCCATTTTGACCTTTTCTTCCCCACAATGTACAAATAATTTTTGGCTGCACTGTAAGATGTCTGTTTTTGGATAACATTGATACATATATAACTACGCTTGGGTGATTGCTTACTGAATACATTCTTTGTGTGATGTTAAGAAGATTTTTCTGGTTAACCCTGGCATGATGATTGGTTTAGATGAGGAGCCTGTTGGTGTACTCTCTGCCATCAATGGTGGTCCTGTATTCCCTGGAGGTCTCTGGGACTTCAGCCCTAGTCCAAATGGGCATCAGCATGGTAACACCGTCTCGAGCCTCTCACTCTTTAAGTACACAGAGTGTCATGTGCACAACTCATTGTCCTCTTTTTCTAGTACCCATGATTCAGTACAAAATATTAATAATGCTTTGATTCAGTATTACAGTATGTACTGGTCTTCCTGGTATTTGAATGCATATTGAGAAAATCTATTAGCGCATAAGCATTAATGGGAGGAAAGCCTGACAGCACAGGAAACCCACAACCCTGAGGTTTGATGTCTACTGATACGCCCGGCTCTGCTACAGTGTGCCAACCTAGTTTAATTTCAGTCTGATACTGAAGCTGGTATAGAGATTTTCCACTGGTTTTCCTATACAGAAGATGAAGTAACTGTTACTTTCAGGACAAGATTTATTTGCTGGAAGGAATTTCTGAAAACTTAAAAAGGTATGGGTGTGTATATAATAGCAACGTGTTCAAGCATCCAATTATATTTAAATATGATGAAGAAACAGGGTGTGGTTGAGCCTGAACTGGATATTGTGTGTGTTTTTTTTTCTCCCCCCAGTTCTGAGGATACTGTGTCAACAATTGTGGTGAGGTGTTTCACTGAGGCCTTGCCTGAAAACAGGTAAGCCGCTACAGGGAGCAGAGACCCTGCAGCCTTCATGACTGTAATCACATGATGTATAAGCTCTTGTGTGTTTTTCCAGACTGAGCCGTCTTCTTCACAAGCATAAATTTGAAGAGGCAGAGAATTTTGCCATCCAGTTTGGACTTGATGTTGAGGTGGTGTTTTTAAGTTCCGTACTCTTTGTACAGCTGTATTTTGATGTATACGCTGTGTGTGAAACACAACTGCACTTATGTAATCCTTCATGGCAGCTGGTGTATAAAGTAAAGCTGGATTTTGTGCTGGAGAAGTTGGCATCTGCTTCTGTCGGGGGCTATGGGCAGGAAGTGTGGTCAGAGCTAGTGGAGGAGGCCAAGACCAACCTGAGGAAGATCATGGTAAGGAGCTGGGCCATTCTGATGTTGGCCTGTAAAGATCTGATGCTCATATATTCCCCAAAGTTAAGCTTGTTGGTGATGATTATGGTACTGATGGGGTGCTAATTTCTTGGTTCTGTTGTCCTCAACACTGAATGAGGGAGGGTTCGGCTAGGGGATATGTGCCAGCATCCAGAACATCATGGGTTCAGATCGTCTAGTTGGCACAATCGTATCACTGTTAGGCCCTTAACCCCATGGACCATATAGTCTAAACCTAACCGTGCTGTCAGCTGTATGTACATGCCTGTCTGTTTCTCTTACAAAAAGCAAGATGGGATATGTAAAAACTGCCTTCCCTGATTAAAATCTATTTTATGATGATTCTGTTGACATTATGAACACTTTCGGTTCTGACGAGCGATGATTCTGCTAATGTGGCTGCCGTCATCTTATCAGGACGAGCAGTTTGTTGTTCAGTACTGCATGAAAGCCCCATGGCCCACCTTCAGCACGGCGGAGGAGATGCTGAACCACGCTGCCTCCCGCTACCCCTCCTCCCTGATCCAGGAGGCCCTCTTCAAGCTCGCCACCTACTGCGGCCTCAACGGGCCAGACAACTTCAAGTCCGTTCCCTTCTGTGAAACACCCTGGTTCAAAGCCTGACTTAGATTATATCGTGTGCCATGATACAGTGATGTGTTTATTCATTTCACATTGCAGGACAGTGGCAATAATGAGAGAGAATTTTGTCTATTTCCAGTTGTAATTTTTAATCATATTTCCTTATTTTGTTGGCAGTTTGATCACAGAGTTGGTGCTCGCAAAGTCTTGGGACACTTCCTTAATTCTGTAAAAATGATTCGAATTTATTAGTTTCATAAGTCCATTGACAAGTAATCTTTAACATATCTGCACGTCCCGCATAGACATGTTCTTTTAAGTGTCTTTTTTTTTCCTGACTGACTCCTGACTGTTCTTTTTTGGATGTATTGCTATTAATTGCAATTGCAATACTGAATACAAATGTTAGGTGTGTTGTTATTGCAATCGTGTCACTGATTTTAAAAACACCCAGTGAAACTTCTTGTCAGTGAACTCTTTAAATCAGATCAGCTTTTTTAGAAATATAATTTGGGTTCCCATTTATTATTACTTGAATGTTTTACAAAAAAGTACTGGTTTCTAATGTCATATATATAGTACTGTGGAAAAGTCTTAGGCAGGCAAAGAAAATGATGTTTAGATTATCCTCGTATTGGTGTATGATATTATTCCTGTCAAAGTGTGTCAGTGTAGCCACTTCAGAACCTCTGCTAAAATCAACTCAGTATTTGTAGCAACCATCCAGTGCAGCCATGTATTTTTTGGCCACTAGCACACCTCATACAGCAAGTTAATCTGTCACTGACTTTTTAAACCAATTTATTTAATTATTTAATTGAGCTGTTGGTGAAATTTAACAAAATCATGGAACAGCTGAGGTGCCCCTGAGGAGAGGTTTGGGAACTGAAGCGGTGTTCATCTAGCCATCCGACTAGATATCAGGAACTTTTTAGAAAACAGAAGAAATTACTACTAGTTTTTATTGTGTTACTCTTAATTTGCACATGTTCTAATGTTAAATTGTGTTTTTTGTTTTAAGCCAAAGTACCCTTGCTACCCAGATAAACAGCTTTAAACATTTCTTTGGACTGCCTAAGACTTTTGCACAGTACTGTATATTTTGAAAACACATATTGATTTTATAACATCCTTAAATTTGCAGTGGTTTTACTGAATTAATCAAGTTTCTCAAGACTTTGTGAGCACTTTTATATAATTTTTAAGGTATATGTACAAAATCCCAGTTACGTATTTAAATTTAACTGCCTATGAAATTGTACTTTTCCAATTTTATTTCTTAAATAATGTAAATGAATGTCAGCCATTTGCATAGATTTTACTGTACTCTTGGTGCATGCATTCACATCTGTGTTTCCCGCACCATGTAGTGGCATCGCTTGGATCGAGTTCCTGAACAGTGATGATCACATGACAGACGTTCTGTGGCACTTGAGGGAGGGGGACCTGAGGGGGGCCCAGCACCTGTGGCTCCGACATGAGGTACCCATCATACCCAGCTGATCTTGTGAGGAATTGTCTCTGATTATTATGGAGGTGTGTGTGTGTGCATATATTAAGAATTTAGTGATTAATTGTCATTGTTGACACACCACAGCACACAGTGCACAACAATGAAATGTGTTCTCTGCATTTAACCCGTATATGACAATGTGACATAGCAGGGGCAGCTAATTTAGCGCCCGGGGAGCAGTGCTTGGGGGGCGGTACTTTGCTCAGGGTACCTCAGTGGTGCCTTGCTGGTTGGGGAATCAAAACTGCAATCTTTTAATTATGTGCATGTCTCTAACCATTAAACCACCACTGCCAACAAATATATTACCACAGTCTTCCTTCCCTTAGGTTTTAACATGGTCTTCCTCTAATCTCACTATTGAGTTGTTCAGCCAGGTTTGAAATTTTATCCCAGTTTCTGGATGGTTTGACTGGATGAGAGGGTCCACATGATGACTGCCACATAGCCTGGGGTCGCGAAGGTTTAAATGCAAACTTAAAGCTGTCATATTATAAAGGGAGCTCGGCTAACTAGTGGCATAGTGGTTAAGGAAAATGAGACTATGGTTCAGGTCAGATTCAACTTTTCCCATTATTTTGTTTGATAGCTGACCTCCTGAAGTGCAGTGTCACCTTCAAGTTATCACTGACATCTGGTTTCACACAGTGACACTTTATTTTTTTATTTAATGCAGCCAGAGTTTGCAGGGAAGTTTGATGAGTGTGTCCTGGACTCTCTGCTCTCGTCCATACCTGAGAACATCCCCTCCCGGGACCTCTGCCCATGGTTTAGAAGTGTCATTGTTCCCTTCGTGAGAAGAACTCTGCCCAGAGGACAGGTGCTGCCGTGCATCTAGAATGATCTTTTTAGAAAATGATCATAAACAAGCAAAATGTATAGTTAAAGCTTGCTAGATGAGGCCTAGTGCTGTCATTTATAGAATGTTCAGATACCTCAGTTCCTACCTAATGTTGAGCCTTTGCTTGGGGGTTTGCAGAAGAATCTTGCCAGATGGTTGGAGCAGAGAGCAAGGAATTTAGAGCTGATGGAAAAGGTGGGAATTAAGCAACTCTTTGACCCCAGAACATTTTTAGATTTTTCTGCTATTTTGTTCATTTCTTGTGCATTTTGATCTTTCACATTTATTCACACACGTCTTTGGCACTATTCCTGTAGAATCTTTCACATAAATTTGCAAGCTCTAGACTGATTTGATGTAGCTTGGGGAAACTGCATTAAGTAATTACACAGAATGTAACATACCTGGCCTCATCAGCCTTGCATTAACCTCCATCTTGCTGTTCTTCCCCTCTTCAGAATGACTGGCCCCAGAATGGACTGGAGATGTCCCAGCTGGGCCTCTCCTCCTCTTGGCTCTGGGTACCACTGGTAAGCTGTCCTTCTATCCCAATCCTACTTTGGGTTACTGAGGGTTCTCTCAGCACCTCTGCTGCTGTCCATTTCCCTATTTAGCAATCTTATATGTTCTCTTCAACGGGCTGACATCATGGCCTAGGTGGTTTCTAGCCTTGTGGTTTCTGGAAAAAGCTTCAAGCTTACTGCCAAACCTGGACAAGTGGGAATGTTTTTTATATATTTGTACGAATTGGCAAAAAATTCAAACTAAAATGGCTGCGTTAAATTGCCTGCATAGAATATTTTAAATGTAATTTTTTTCTGTTTTGGACAGGAGGATGACTGTGGTCTGGAGGAAGTGGAGCACCTGAAGTCTCTGGTGTCCAGCCTCCGCCAGCTGCTGGACCTCTTCAGGAAGTACAACTGCAGGCTGCCTCTGTCTGACTTCGAGAAGGTTCCTGACTCAAAGCCAGTTTTAATCCCTTTCCCCCCTTGTCTTGTATGGGGAGTGTGTAGGGTGCCTAAGGGTCCTCATGTAATCACCAATGTTACTTGGCGGTTGCGAGTTCATGTCCTAGGAATAGGGCTCCTACCGTGCCATTCTGCAGTAAAATAACCCTCTATCATGGGGCAGCGAATGGCTCAGTGGGCTAAGCCTGTGTGCCTGTGATCAGAAGATCGCAAGGTCGAACCCAGCTTATCTTCAACCAAGGCTCTTAACCCCCAGCTCCCTTGGCGCCGCAACAACGGGCAAGTTGGGAGAAGTGTAAAGAGAATTTCCACACGGGGATCAATAAAGTATCAATTAATAGCTTTGCAAAAAAGGCTCTGCCAAACGCCTAAATAGTGTAAATAGTGTAGATCTTGTAAAAATGATGGCTAGATGGGTAGTGATAATAATAAAAGTTGCTGAATATTAGTAATTAACCATGATGACCCTGTGCCAGGGCAACACGAGGAGCATTGCTTTCCTGATGCTGGACAAAGTCCTGGCCCCGGAGCTGATCCCAGCCATAATAGAGAGCAGCGTTGGGCCCTATGCCCAGGAGCACCACACCTGCTTGGATGAGCTCCTGTTGCACTACATCCAGGTTTGTGTGTTTTATTGTGTGTTACTGTGCCCTAGTTAGGGTTGTATGGAATCAGATTTGTGCCAATATTATCAAGCAAAACTTTTTTGACATTAAGCAAAAACAAGGCTTCGTGACAAAAAAAAAAAAAACTGAAGTAAAAGAAATGTCATCTCAAAAGTAAAATTTATAACTTGCAAACATGATTGGTCTTTTGATAATGTTTATTAAACATTGTTAATTAAAAATGTCCGTGGCATTGACCTGTCAGTCAAAAACTTATTAGCCAATGGGGACGCGTCCCTGAGAAAACCCGCCCACGCGAGAAGCTTGTGTCAGAATTGTAAGCAAAAAGTCAGGGAGCGCAAGCGAGAAAGCTGGCAGCGTAAACAAAGGACATGACATTTCTTTTGCTTCATATAGTTTTTTTTCTTCTCGAAGCCTTGTTTTTGCTTGATGTCAAAAAAGTTTTGCTTGATGATATTGGCACAAATCTGATTCCATAGGGTTGGGTATTAAGAACCGGTTTCAAATTGCAAGAACCGGAAATTTGGTAAGATAATTGTTCCACTTATTGAGTTCTACACGGGCATTTTCAGTCAGTTACTTAAGGGTTAATGCACCACAACTTCACTGTATATGAAGCTCCTAATATGGATTTGCCACCAAAAAAGGTACTATTCCTAAAACTGGCTGCTTTGCCCATGCACTTGATCTTGGGGCACAAAATGTCTACTCAGTGACATCCAAGATTCAGAGTGTGGTTAACATTATTTCATCTTGAAACACCCTGTTCTTGTTTTAACAAAATCTAAAAATTACATAACTGCTTCAAGTAACCTATCGTGAAAAGTAACCTGTTGTGAAAGTTGAAGACAATAGAGACGGTTTTTATTAAACATTTTTGCTATTTGTTTTCCCCACCACATTACAATTGGCACCAAAAATCAACTATAATTGGATTTTTAAAAAATTTTTTTTTTACAAGAATCAAATTTGGAATCTGTAAAATGTAAAGGACACCCAGCGGTGGCCGAGGCGGAGGCGTGTCTCCTCTGGATTGGGGTCTCACTGTGTGTGAAACGCTTTGCAGGACATGCTGGAACGCTGTAGCTCACACGCCACATCGCTGTTCACGGAGTGGGAGGCCAAAGCCATGGCTGTGTTGAGCTGCATGAAGGACTCTGACGTGAGTCTCCCTGTCTGTTCCACTTGATATGTATATGATTAACGCCTCTTTTCATGCTGTTGTGACTGTTCAAACATCAGTGGTAATGAATTCATGTAGAATGTGTGCTGTTGACTGGATCCTCCTGGCCGCGCTCTGTCTCTCCATGCTGCTGGTGACAGATGGCATGTTTCTGCCATGTTGTGGTCTAGCTGGTGGTGGACGCCGTCCTGGAAGTCATGTACAAAGCTGTCGTGCCCTGGAGTGAGGAGGTGGAGTTGCTTGTCCAGCAGCACCTGGGAAAGGAGCATCCTAAGTAAGGTTAAACCCCCCCGGGATTTCTGAGGCTGCTGAGGGTGGGGGCATTGCTCAGTTGTTGATGTGCTTGTGTCATGACCATCCTAGGCAGGAGCTTCTGAAGGAGACCTATCAGCTAATGGAGATGAAGAAGCTGCTCAGGGGCTACGGCATCCGCAACTTCAATCCATCCAGCAACTGTCAAGTCATGGTCAGTGGAAGCTTACCTTTAACCTTTGACACCTCTTCATAACGATTAATCGTGCAGTCACCCCCTTGTGGTGGAAAGGTATAAGGAGAAGTGCAGGCTCATTTTTAAGGTTTTAGTTTTTGTTTTTATTATTTTATGTGTCTGAAATGTATTCTGTGCCTTTGCTTTGTTTGACCTCTTTACCTGTTGTGGTTTCCAATACCCCCCCCCCCCCCACCTACACACACACCACACAAGCACACATGGACCCAGCACTACGAAGCCCAAAAGAAAAATGTTCAGTGGTTCCTCAGTTCTCGAACTTACCGTATTTTCCGCACTATAACGCGCACTGCATTATAAGGCGCACCGTCAATCAGTGGTCTATTTTCAAACTTTTTCCACATACAAGGCGCACCGGACTTTAAGGCGCTTTAAGCAAAACAAAACAGTCAGATAAGCCAGTCAACCAAAATTTATTTTACATCTCGTGTTCACAATGACTGTCAACATTGTTCAAACGTTTATGAGCGTCTTCACTACTCTTTAACACGTAAAAAAACAAGTGTCTTATATCACTAAATCAAAAGTCAGCGTATTCATAATAACTCTTGAAATTGTTAATTTATAACACGTGAAGCACTACACAATACACTCACTTTTCAATACTAAAACATTAAAATCGCTTCGAGTTCAGTATGCACAACAGAAATTAATCCACGTTTAAAGCGCACTGGATTATAAGGTGCACTGTCATTTTTTAAGAAAATCAAAGGCTTTTTGGTGCGCCTTATAGTGCGGAAAATACGGTAATCCGTTCCGGACTCCGGATCGAATCCTAAAAAGTTCGAGTTCTGATCGAATTTTTCCCATAAGAAATAATGGAAAACCAATTAATTGATTCCCGGCCCCCCAAAATTACACTTAAAAATATGTTTTTCTTTTTTAGCATTTAAACACAAAATGAACCGGATAAAACAAGAAAAGCATTTTTTCCTAATGGCTTCCAAAACGATAAAGATTTTATCCCAACATTACCCCTGTCCTGCCCCGATCGTCCGCTCCTTCTGTGTGCCACGCCCCCTCGTTAACCTCGTGTGGGATCCCCATGTGATCAGCTGTTTCTGGTTGTTGTCATTAGTCCTCTGTATTAAGTCCGCGTTTCAGTTTGTTTCCCCAGTCCGGTCATTGGGTTCGACTTGGTTACAGCTGGCTTAAAGCAACGCATTCTGATCCTGACACAATGCATTACGGTTAGATGCATTGCGACCTACCACTCAGCTGCACAAACTGGAACTGCCTCCGTGACAACACACCTTTGCCCTTATTGGCTGAAGAGTTTAGTTACACGCATGACGTTTGTAGCGCAGGCAGTTCCAATGCGTAATCTGCTATTTCTCCCGAATATCACGTAAAGCAGTGAGAACTGGTTTTCAGTTAATTTACCTGGTAAAATAAAGTTTTTAAATAAATGACATAAATGCTCTAATAGTACACGTAAGTTAGTGGTTTATTTATTGTTAGTTACTGTAATGTTGCACTGCTTTATTTGGTTAATGTGAAGAAGGCATTCAAGTAAGAATTGCGTTGTAGTATGACTCATTTCCTGGTGCATACAATTTATATTAGGTCACCGTTCACGGTTCGACTTCTGATATTCAGATGGAGTTCTAGGTCAAAGTGCTTTGTTCGACTTTCAAGAAATTCGAGTTCTAGTGAGTTCGAGAACCGAGGTACCACTGTATAATGTATATGCCTATGAATAATCTTTTAAACAGCTGGTGTTAAGACCAATTCATGCTTCACTTTCCTGTCCGCGCACAGGGTAACTGATGTAAATTTCATCATCAGGGGTATAGGCCGAATGGTGCGCATGTTGCCCAGATTTCTGCATCCAGCAGACATTATGCACTTTAGGGCATGTTGACTGTGCATGTGCAAGGAAATTGACTAGGTGTTTTTGCTTTTGGTGGCAGAACTGACTTTCACAGAGTAGGGATTTGTATTAGGGCTGCCACTAACGACTATTTTTCTATGGATTAATCTGTCAACTATTTTGCCAATTGGTCGATTAATCTAAATGATTGATTTTCCTCCAGAAAATCAAATAGACCATTTAAGAATTTTATTTTGACAACAACAAACTGTATGTTATTGCAGGGCTTTAGTTAATGGACATTATTTTCACCCACAATTTGATGAGCAGATTTACAGAGCCCCTTAGGTGTCATAATGGAAAAAATATTATCTCATAGTCATTTGTGGTCTGAAGTTAGTAATTGCCCAACTTTAGAGCACGAATTACTAAGCTCCATGCAAATTATTTCAACTTATATACTCTAAATATACTATGCCTAATATTAATGAGATCACCCAAAAGTTAATCTGTGTAAATCTGGTGTATCCTTATGCCTATTAAACTCTGTTAGCAGAGCACCCTATGTTACTGTCTTGGTAAAACATGGGGGACAGCTTAGCAATCGCAACGTCTTTTGGAAGAGGAAATATCATGGATAAATAAGGTTAAAAAAAAAATAAAAATATGTTGGTGCTGTGGTGGTACTTTTTGCTGATTAAAGTCAGTTCCCAAATTATTTTTTTTATTTAGTGTCGATTTTCGTTTCAGTTTTAGTTTACAATAATAACACTGGTCCCAAACATGGGCATTGTTAGATCCGATCCCTTGGGACCATAGCCCCGAGTATTTTAAGCCTAGCCCTGAGTATTTTAGCCCTGAGTATTTTAGCCCTGAGTATTTTAGCCCCGATGCCAGTCTTCCTTCAACAAAAAAGTCAAGCCCCAGGTAAACTTGACTTAGCCCCTAAACTTTTCAATAGCTAGAAACTTCCCTGGTCCCAACAAGCCCAATGCGCCTGAACACACATTGGTACCATCAGTCCACGTAGAATGAGCAAAAATCTGGGCTTAAACATTTATTCAATGGTGATTCTAAGGTAGCAGGCAGACACTCATTATTAAAGCCATAAAGTTATATTTAGCAGCTACATTGATAACAGATATTAAAAAGCTCTCCGTAATAATGGTTATTTTATAAAGACGAATATACAGCACTTTTTTTTATTGTGGTGATCTAGAATAACTTCTGTACGTTTTCTCTTCAGGCGCTCCTGCACAGCACTGGTGCCTGTGTAGTATTGCCATCAAACTTTGTGTAAAACCACCTTTTTGTTTTGTGATTATTTGAACTACTCCCATAATTATGTAGTGATATTAAAGGAAAACATGAATTGAAACATTTTAGAAATCATAATGGTGATTTCATTGAAATAATTATTTTAAAAATGATGCGTCAGTTTAAAATATTGTTGTTGATGCATTTTCAACTGTCAGCTAATTGCAGTAGCCCTAGTTTGTATCATGAAGCCAGATTTGCCGCTTAGCGAGATTTACTGCTTAGTGTAATGTGTTGTCATGGTAACTCATGCTGCCATTATGACTGAACTGATCTATTCATACACTGATGCTTTTGCATGCGGTAGTTTGAGAGCCACTGGTCTACAGTATGTACAAAATATAAAAAATGCAGACTTCAGTGATTCTGTTAGAAGTTTACAAGGAGTTAAAGTAATAGCCATGGTTAAAATAAACTGTTGGAAACGAAGGCTACTGGACTGATGTGAAAGCCACATCACAAAAATGTATCTCTGCTATGTCCAACTGCAACGCTAAAATAGTTCTCAGAATCATACGGGTGTGAAAGCATTTATAAAAGTTTTTGGGAGCGGAAAACTCCCGGATAGTGTGGCCCAAAGGTGATCATTTTGAAAACACAATTGTCTAAATTTGTTAAATGTGAAATGTCTGTTTCTCATTCTGTATTTGAATTTCACTCAAGAATAAATGCAGCCAATGGGAGCAACATTTTTATTTATTTTTTTATGAATGCCATGCTACACTGAGCTTCCTCCCACAGATGCTGCTAAGGCGTATCCTGAAGCAGGACTTGCCCTCATCGCTGGAAGATGCCCTCAAGGTGGCGCAAGTGTATAAGCTGTCAAACTCCCAGATCTACTTCCTGTATATCATCCAGCTGATAGGTCAGGCCAAGGTAAGTAAGCCTGCAGTGGAGAGCTTTCCTGCCAGACAGGGCTGTAACACCAATGAAGTAGCAGCTGCCTGGATCTGAGACTCTGGCATTTTCATTGCTACTGGGTCATGTTGTCCCCACATTTGCACCCTCGCTCTTTTTCCTCAGTTTAAAAACCTGCAGTTACATGGTGATCTTGGAATGAGGCTGTAGTGGACTGTCCAGGGTGTCCCTCACCTTGCTGCCTGTGCCTCTTGGGATGGGGTTCAGTCTCCTTTATCTAACCCTGTACTGGGTAAATGCTCACAAAGATTTTTATATTTATTTAATTAGCAGATGATCTTATCCAAAGCAATGTACAATTGTGGAAGCAATGTCAGCTGATCCATGGAGCAATGTGAGTTAAGGGCCCAAATATCAACAAATGACCTTCCAGTCACAGGCACAGAGTCCTAAACCACACAGTCTCTCACTGGCTCACTGGACTGAAAGATGAATAGTGCTGTTCTTTTTTTTTCTTCCATTGCTTTTGAATTTGATCACATTGAAATATACGATACATTTCCCATCTTTGGTAAATATCGATCTTGAAATTGCTACAGCGGGAGGCTTGTGTGCTGGTTCTGAAAGGACTGCCCCCTATGGAGGCCGAGTGCGTCATCGAGAGGCTCACCACCTGGGCACGGCTGGAGCTGCAGGACAAGGAGTTTGTGTCTGAGGAGGTGGGTGCTCGCTTTGTCCGCATGGTGGCCTGGCTTTGAATTTCAATGTGATAGTCACATGCAGGGTGAAATGGCATCGACTGCAGCTGTATTTTCTGTATACAGCCACTTTCTTCCTGCCTAAGGTGGCTCGGTGGTTTTGTGGTTAGCTCTGTTTCTTCAGACCTCTGTGGTCAGAGGTTCAAATCTGCCTTCCACTCTGTTTATGACATCTGCATTTTCTCCCCGCTATGTGCAGATGTCTTATACAACTCCATGTTGTTCTTGCAGTCCAAAGATATGCAGTTAAGCATATGAGTGTCTACATCGAACTCTATGTGTATGTAGCACATAATGGGGACTAAGTGTCCTCACAATATGAAAAAAACCCTGAAATTTTGACATTGTCGGAACCATTTTTCCGGTCCCCAGAAGAAGAAACTCAATTTTATAAAAATCTGTGACAATCAAAAAACAGATTTGTATTTTGCTTGGTTATTTATGGTTAAGATTAGGGCTGGGTGGGGGTTAAGGTTGTCATTGTTGGGATTAGGGTTTTTCCCATAGAAATGAATGGGCTGTCTGCACAAAACAAACGTGTGTGTGTGTGTGTGTGTGTGTGTGTGTGTGTGTGTGTGTGTGTGTGTGTGTGTGTGTGT